TAGAATGTACAGATACCCTATTTTATTTCTATTTTAGTACTTAAATTTACACATTTTCCCACCAACCTAACCTTGCGTGATATGATAAGATCTCTACTATCAATAGGGTGAGATCTGCACCACCAAAAAAACAAGAGGCCCAAGGGCCACATCGCTCACCTGAGCACTGTGGCTAGGAAAAAAGGAAAAATCGGTTTGAAAAGCTTAAATGTATAAGTGGTCCCAACCTACCCCTAAAAAGGGAGTGGGGGGGGGGGGTGGGGGGGGTCATGATTTGAACAAACTTGAATCTACACTATCTGAGGATGCTTCCAAATAAATATGACCAATCATAGCTTTGCTGTTCTTGAGAAGAAGATTTTTGAAGATTTTTCCTATATATTCCTATGTAAAACTTTGATCGTCCATTGTGGCCCTACCCTACCCCCGGGGGTCACGATTTGTACAAACTTGAATCTACACCACCTGAGGATGCTTCCAAATAAATATGACCAATCATAGCTTTGCTGTTCTTGAGAAGATGATTTTTGAAGATTTTTCCTATGTACACCTATGTTAACATTGATCGTCCATTTTGGCCCCACCCTACCCCCGGGGGTCACGATTTGAACAAGTTTGGTTGAAATTGGCCCAGTGGTTCTTGAGAAGAAGTCAAAAATGTGACAAGTTTACCAACAGATGGACAGCTAGACAGACAGACTTACAACAGGTGACCAGAAAAGCTCAGTTGAGCTAAAAAATCAACAGATACACAGATGTATGTATCTTAGTGTAGTCTACTTGTGTGTCAAATTATACTGAAATCAAACCAAAACTGCAGGAGGAGTAGCATTTAAAGCAATACGAGCTACATTTTTGAGAATTTTATTTTGCTGTTACAATGTGCTGTTTTGCCAAATCTATATGTAATTTAAACCTTTGTGATCATTACACTAAAATAAAGTATAAAATCTTTCATTCTATTCAGTGGAATGCATAGTATTATATAAGAAATCAATTTTCTACAGGACGACAATAATGTAATTTTGCTTTTATCAAAGCTTCTTCCATCGCAAATATGAACAAAGAGGTTTATAAACGTTCTTTTTTTCTGTCATTGAAATAGTTAATTACAATATTGCAACAAAAATTTCCAACATCAAAGTCGCAGCTCATATTGCTTTAAAAAGTTTTTCACAGAAATTTCTATTTTTATTAACCATGGCAACGTCATTCACCGAAATCGAAAAACGAAATAAAGAATTACTGTGGAAGGAGCAGATTTTTGAAAAATTATTTACAGACGTACAGACAGCTAGACAGACGAATGGACGACGGACACCTTACTATCACATAAACTCTTCTGGTCTCTGACCATTGAAAAGGACACGGGGCGTACATTCACTGTCCAAACTGGCATATACGCTTTAGTCGTACAGACTAAGCACCGATAGAGATGTTTCTTTCAGGTAATTAACGGAAACTATGCCAATTTCTGTAAATATTTGGAATACTTACTGAATCTATTGCATCTCAAACTATATTTTTTTTCTTTTTGACTGTAGTTTGCAACTTATTATTTCTTTTTAAGTTTTTTTTGGGCATTTTTATACATTTTCAACTTCGCGCGGTTTTCGGGTGCTTGATAACTCGTACGAAGTTTCCTTCATGCTGAATATTGATCCCGATGTTTTTTGTTGATATTCTCTGCTTAGCTTAAATAACAGATTTGGTTCATACTTTTCAGGCAGATCAATAACTTTGAACTAAATTCACGGCATTACATAAAAATATTATGATTGGTGGCGTTTACGAGCAGTTTGATGGATTGGTATAAGCTTTAGGTTTCTGCATTTATAACTTAGTACATTATCATACATAGTATTGTTGATATATTTTACATATGTTGGAATTAAGTTAAACGTAGCAAATATGCCCAAGAAGTTGGAAGCGATTCTTTTTGGTTAAATTAAAAATATTTTAAAAAATCACAATCCAGAACAATCGCAGATTAAGAAATCAAAAGTTCTTAATTTATCATATTACACATAACTTTATATGCATAAATGAATTTCAATGTATAAAATGTGCCTGGCAGAACTTTATGAAGCAATTCTGCTCAGTGGCATAACTAAGAATATCAATTGAATATCGAAAGAGTCAGGAGTTGGCAAAATAGATTTAATTATCACCTGCCTAATCTGGAGCAATTAAAAAATTCAGTTAATTTTGATTACAGCCAATTTCACGTTAAAAAAAAAACATGAATATTTGTCCTTATTTCATTTAAATAATTCAAATTATCACTTGTCACAACCACAGATTTATCATTATGACATGACATGTACAAGATATTTAACTACTAAATTTGAATTAACATACAAATATATATTCTGATATTACAAAGGCAGTAATGTGTAACATATGCAGCACAAAAATGCTATACCAGTATCATAATAAACAGTATTCTCCATACATCCAGTCAAATAATATTGACAAAATTAATAACAAGTATCATAATGAGTTTGAAACATTTTGGCACATTTATTTTGGTATCATTAAAACTGAACACAGTTCAGTACAATTTCTATTTGGTATATGTTTTTAAAACAAATATAACCAGAGAGAAGAAAAATGTGATGGACCAGACCAGGATTGGAACACTGAGCCCCTGAATCTCCAGTCTACAACTGAGCTATCTGGCCACCAGCAATCAAACCTATCTGACAGCCAAACACAATGATCACTTTGTGGTCAACCAACAAAAGAATCACTTTTCTAATAAAATTGCAATGTAACAAGTTATACCTTTATTGTCCTAAAAATAAATCTAAATTTTTATGAAGTAAAATTTGCTTCATTGATAACTGTATGTACATGTACAAGTATCTATATAATTCATTAGACTCAGTCAATATCTTATAATTTTGTAATACTTTACCATAAAAATTGACAGACACTTTAAGAGTACATGTATTTTGAAGAAAGTGTCTTTCTGAGGTCCCGGTAGTCATTTTGTTGCTGAAAAACGTACATGTACATAAATTAGCACACTCAAAATTTAGGGCAAGAGTCCTCTTCAACTGATTAGCACAATCATGAATTAACGCACTAGAGTTTAAACAACTGGTACTTTTTTTTCCATCAAATTAATTTAAGTCTACAGAGTGTAAATAAATTAGACATAAGATCCTAAACTTAGGTACATGTGGTCCTGACAAAATGGAATCAACTGTAAAATGTACTTTTAACACATTCCTAATATTCACTGTATATAATATACATTAAATACATGTATATTATACATTAAATACATGTATATATTATTACAGTAGATCTTCATTTTTAAAGTGTTGCTTGTATAAAAAAAAATTAAAATATAGTATATATATCCAAAATAAAGTATTTCACAGTGAATTTCAACATTATAAAAGGGGCAACAAATACTACTTCAAAATAATAGCACTAGTAAACGGAATAAAAAATGTTGTAGTATACAAGACAATAATTTGTCCTTCGTGACTAGATTTAGGAGAAAATAGGTAAAGGTTTCAAAAGTAAAAAAAATACATGTATGTGATTTTTATGCAAAGCAAAGTCAAATCAAATGAACATTCAATCAGATGTATACCCATCATAATACATGTTTAATACATGTTCATACACGTTAATACATGTATATAATCTTTAGGTCACATTTGAAAAATACAACATTAAAAAGCAAGATTGCATTTGTTTACATGTATATCCATAAATACATGATCATGAAATTTTGATCCAAGAAGGACATGTAGCATTAAATTTAGAAAGCAATCCTTAATGCATCATCAGGACTTCTTTGGTCCAGGTTTGGCTTACTGAGAATGGCCAAGCTCAAAAACTTTGACAATTGGGATTTGGAAATCAAAGCAAAGCAGTGTTATCTCAACTTTGTGCAAATGAGAAAACAATTATTGATTTGTTCTTTTATAATACAAACAAAACAATATCTTACAAATGTGTCAACTCTCAATTTCACTAAAAGCCTGTATTACCAAGAGTCATATCATAAAAATTAAAACTCTCAAAGTTGTACATCTCTACTCAAAATAATGCATTTTGAAAATACAGTTCTTCCACTCATGCATATAAACATAGGTAAAAAATCAAAGTTTAGGAATACAAATGTTATCCATAGGTAAGGAAAATCACACACAATTTTTTCTAGTTTGTGTGCATCCTAAGATCAATATCCATGCAAAATTAATTTAAGTAGGACATGTAGTTACTTGGGAATGGACCTGCTCCAAAAACTTTTACCTGTTCACTCATCCACAAAATGTAAGTTAGTTCCAACATCTGAGGCAAGTCTGGTAATGTCCATCCCTTGTTGCATCATTCATGTAAGTTTCATCATAACAGGCCATATAGTTATAAAGCTACTCAAAAACAATACCCTGGTCAGTCATTTAGAAAATATAGGTCAGATCCAGCATCCAAGCAAGTCTGTAAGTGTTCATTCCTAGAAACATCATCGAAGCCAGTTTGGTCAAGGTAGGGCAAATATTCACTCCTCTGTAAAATATAGATCAGAACAAGCATCTGAAGCAGATAAGGTAGGGTGCACCCCTACATCATCTATGAAAGTTTGGTTCAGGTAGGTCTTAAAGTTACTTCGGAATGGAAATGGTTCAAAAATTTTATTCTGGTCATTCATCAGAAAAATATGTCAGACCCAGCATCCGAAGCATGTATGGTAGTGTGCATCCCTAGATGCATCATCCATGCAAGTTTGGTCCAGGTAGGGCTAATAGTTACTTGGGAATGGACTTCCTCCTAAAACTTTAACCGGGACACCGACATCAATGCTGGGGATATAGCATAAGCTCATCTTGACTTCGAACAGGTGAGCTAAAAATAAATGCCATAAACATTTTGTATGTGTGTTGGAAATATTCCTAAATAGTGGTAACTCTATCAGGAATAAAATTTATCAGATCATTTGGCAATTCCACATCCATGCATTCAACCATCTGAGAGGCTGTTTGAGGAGAGTTCATGTCTTAAGCTTGACTCCCGTCTATCATCTGCCACAGCTGCGATGATTTCAAGAAGCATATCCTTATTTAGGCGCCCCAATTCTGGCTGCCTGGCAACCTGTAATGTACAAAAAAAAAATTACTTGCGTGTACATGTGCCAGCACATGCATACAAATAATTTATTCTATTCGATCAACCACTTGTTTCTTGATAGTTCTACCTTAAATGATTTGCCAATACATGCACAAGTACATATTTTCTATAAAGAGAAAACTTATCTTCTTTAGAATAAATAATGTAGATATTTTTTTTTTAATTGGCATTCTTGCAAATGTGTAAATTGCTTTGCAATAGAATAACTAATTTCAATACCTTTGGAAAATGATGTACAATTAATCTCAGAGCATGTTTCTTCATATCCAGTGCCTGAATCTTATCTGCAGCCTCTAAGATCTAGGAAAAAATTATCTTGTTTATAATAAAGTATCTTATCTAAATTCTTTATCCACTTTACTTCTTTTTACTGAAAACGAATGTACAAGAGGCCCAGAGGCCACAGTACTCACCTGAGTAACTATGGCCCTTCTGTTCTTCATCAGCAGATTCTTTTTCTGACATATTTTTATGTAAAACTTTGAACACTTTTTATGACCCCATCCTTCCTGATGTGGTCATGATTTAAACAAACTTGAATCTACTCTACCTGAAGATGCTTCCATATAAATATGAATGATCATGTTTGATGTTCCTGGGGAAAAGATTTTTAAAGACTTCTCCTATATATTCCTATGTTAAACTTTGATCCTCCATATCTGTCCAGCCCTATACCCAGGGTCATGATTTGAAAAAAACTTCAATCTACACTACCTGAGGATGATTCCATAATATGACTGATCATGCCTTTGTTGTTCATGAGAAGAAAATTATTAAAGATGTTTATATATATTCCTATGAATAACTTTGATCCCCTGCTGTGGCCCTACCCTACCTGGGCCCAGGGATCAGGATTTCAACAATCTTGAATTGCCACTACCTGAGGATGCTTCTTTATTAATATGACTAATCATGGCTATGCTGTTCTCGAGAAGAGGGTTTTTTAAAGATTGTTCTTATAAATTCCCATGTACAACTTTGATCCCTGTTGTGGCCCCACTCTGGATCATGATTTGAACAAAATTCAATCTACACTACCTAAGGATGCTTCAGTATTAATATGACTAACAATGGATTTTCTGTTCTTGAGAAGAAGATTTTTCAAGATATTTCCTATAAATTCCATTGTAAAATGCTGATCCCCTAATGTGGCCTCACTCTACCCCCAGGGCTCATGATTTGAACAACCTTGAATCGACACTACCTGTGGATGCTTCTATATTAATATGACTAATAATGGTTTTGCTGTTCTTGAGAGGAAGAATTTTAAAGATTTTTCCTATATATGCCTATGTAAAACTTTGATCCCCTGTTATGGCCCTGCCCTATCCCAAGGGGTCAAGATATGAACAAATTTGAATCTAAATTATGTAATGAAGCTCTCACACAAGTTTCATCTTTTCTGGCCCAGTGGTTCTTGAGAAGAAGAAAAATATTTTTTATAGATACCACAAATTTCAGGAATTCTTAATTATCTTCCCTTGAAAGAGGGTGTGTCACTTCCTGTGAAGACACTAAAAACCCCTTCACCCAAGGATGCTTTGCGGTAAGTTTGGTTGAAACTGGCTGAGTGGTTCGACACATAATAGACTGATGCTGGACACTCTTCAATCAGAAAGCTCACTTGAGCCTTCAGCTCTGGTGAGCTAATAAGTAATATCTGTTATCCACCAATGTGAAACACTGTTTCTATTAAATTAGGAAAAGCCTGCATATCTAATATACATTTTTATTTACCTGCACAACATTTTGAACAGAGACATTTTTCTCTAGGTTGTGTTTACAGTAGGCTTGCAATCTGTTGTTTGTGAATCCGTAGAAATAAGGAGCAGGGAAGAGGTACAGTGAGTCTTCCGGAGGCATGGTGACATCACCATAGTATATATACTGCAGGAGACTGTCAAATGCTTGTCGAGATGGAACCATTTCTCCAATAGCAATCTGTTGTCAACAAAGAAATTCTTATTTTCATATATAGTGCTATTATTTTTTTCTCGTGAAAAATTTGTTTTTACATACTGTAAACATATTTTTTTCCAGGGGGTCATAATTCTGTGGAATCACAATATCGGTTCAACCAAAGGGTAGAAAATTATACAGATTTATAGGATTGTCATAAAGTATTCTTTAATGCATTTGAGAATGCTCTGGAAAAATTGTGACCATATAAATAGAGAAAATTGTGACCATGAGGGAAAAAGTACCCTCTATAGTATCTACTTCAGTAAATACAAGTACCAATACCATGTAGCGAAGTTTCCTGGACTTACCCTGACAGTGTGATTTTCTGGGTCATTCCATCTAAACATTGCTTCAAAGTAATTACACCTGGCTGCTAAAATTGCTTTGTGGGCAGGGATGGGTGTGTCATCCAGCATTAGGGTGATGTCACAGAATTCTGCTCCATCTCTCTTCAGGAAGGCATTAAGGTCGTGTTCCAATGAGTTATCTGAACATACACATACAGCAAATGAATAATGCATGTGGACATACTATAACCTGTAAAGCCCCAGTCACACTGTCCCGATCTGGCTTCGCTACTACTCACAATTTCGCCTAACATACTTTATCGTCGGAGAACGTAGAAACAATCATGTTGAAACCTGATGAATCATAGGCTTACCCTGACTGATTGGCATAAGCTTATTAAATTCGACAACCTTCACTATTGTTTTGATGCTGCTCGAAACAAACCTGAGTGGTCTTGACATCGACAACATTGATAAAACTAGTGGTTCTACCATAGTATATTTGTTATTGAATCGTGATTTTTCGTAACAACACCTTTGTGGATAGACGTAGATGAACTTCAGTGGACGTGGTTTTAAGTTATTGCTCCATAAAGGTCTTTTTCACAGTTTCTTTGTTATCCCTTAAGGATACACCAAAGGTTTCCAAATGCCAGAAATTAATTTGCATGTAATTCTTTCATTATCAAAGATAACATAATAAAAGTATATATCATTTGAAAGCTTGTTAAATTTACTATTTAATTATCCTAATTTAAACTTTAATTAATAACTTATTTAAAAATTATTTAAATATTAATGTAAATTTTAGTGCATAAATATTTTATAAATCAACTTTTTTGTATTTAACCCCTCAAAGTGGTCATTTTACCTCAAGGTAGATTAAAGATTGAACTAAAAAACCGTATCTCAGATTGTCGATAAATCTTCTTATTCAAAAGTTACAGCCATTTGTCCTTCAATGTTACCAATTTATTAGCCTAATTTAACATTTCCCTCAATAATTCCAAAACTAAGCTTGATATAAAAAATCTGAGATACGGTTTTGTGAACACACATTTGAGAAGCAACCCATCCAATTATCAGAGAAATTGGTCGATAAATAAGAGAGCTGAATCCTTTGAAATAATACCACAAACTGTCTGATCTTACTTTACAGTAGAGGGCAAAAACCCATTACACAACAAAATCTGCCAAAGCTAGGAATATATGACACCTTGGAGATTCAGCTTTGGGTACCTGTCACTTAGCCACATTTCCTATGCATATTCACAAGAATAGGAGGTTCTTTTCTGTATTTAGATGCTTTTAACTAAGTAAAATAGGTTCAATTCTGAATCAGAAAGATTTCCCCGCAAAATGGCAAGAGCTAAGCTCCACCTCCTATTTTATGGTCATCAGTGATCTGTTAGATCTCTTTCTCTAAATTTAGAGTCCCTGTAGTTTAATTACTGATAACCTCTGTGTGGCTAGTGAAGAATTCCCCAAGTGGTCATAGTGATTTATTGCGTTGTTCATGAGCAGGCAGTCACAGATCAAATCAGAAGCTTCAATAACGGACATTCACAAGTGGTAGTGTTTATGTTTCATTATTGTTAAATAATTAGAAAACCATTTCATAATTACCAAGAATTTTACATGCATTATAAAGCAGTGATTAACTTCTTTTTCTTAGCCAAAAATCTCAAAATTGTTGAAAATCTTGAAAAAAGCCTTTGGTGTATCCTTAAACCTTTTAGATAAAGGAAAATGTGAAACTTTAACCAATCCACCATGTCACTTTCTTGTTCTTTGCTAATCAGCGATAAAACTTTTTTTTGTTTTTTGAAGTTACTTCATTGCAAAGCAGAGTTGAAGACGTAATAGATTGAGTACTTAAATCTGATGATGATGACGAACAGAAATGGAAAAAAAAGAATAAGACCTAAATATTATTTACCATGTCTTCAAACCTGTAATTTTCATTGAAATTCATTTTGCTTTGACTCTCCTTGGACCCGGGATGATGGGGTTTGATGAGACCTTTTCACTGCACTGGTGGATTTAGAGGGGGAGCAAGCCCCCCCTTTGTGACCAAAAATATATGCAAGATTAATAAATCAATTTTTATTGTGGTATATTACGTCAATTATGCATAAAGTAGCTAAAATAAGTCGAAAAACTGTAAGACTCCTAAGACCAGGGCTTCCCCACCCAAGGCCCCCAACTGGTTGCCCCACCCCCCACCACCCCTTTCAAGAATCTTGGATCCACCACTGTGTTGCATTGGCATGTCTGCTTATGCCATCAACTTAGTAAATCATGTATAAACTCAGCAGGAGAGAGCAGGGATCGGTTAACTGATTTCTTTGCCTTCTCCAATTCATGATCAAACGTAGTAAAGTTGTAAATAAACATAGTAAGATCGTCATAGTCCGTAGTGCAATCGCCCTGAATCTTGGATGAACTGTGAGTGATTGTACTTTTTCCATTAAGAACATCATGATACCATATAAGTGTGAAATGTGATAAAACATATTTATTTACATGATTCTGTCAAACCGTAACTGTGCCTAGAATGATTGTAGCATCACTGTAAGAATAGTTTGCCATGCCCATTTTTTTCCGTGAACTTACCTGATTTATTAGATGACACACGGTCGTGGATGTTCTTTGCTTGAATCGGCAGTGTGTGACTGGGGCTTAAATCATTGCAAGGGAATGAATTTTTAAAAAGCACAGGTACATGTTTATCATAGGAGTGTTTACTTCAGTAATATACTGTTGGAGTGTATACCTCTGTGACATCTTATTTGTTGTTGCTTAGAATAAGGACAAGTAATACAAAAAAAAATCACTTTAAAAATGAAATGTGACATTCTATTCCCCAAATCTAAATAATCAGTAACTTCATTTATAAATATTCTGTAACAATAACATGTTTCTCAGACTTACTATTTGTAATGATTGCTTCGTTATGTGATTCAGCAGGCAGTCTAACGTGTTGTTGCTGGGTCAGCTTCCTTCGGATGATTTCTACCATAAGCTGCTTATCTAAGCTCTCAAACTCTCTACTGTTTACTATCTGACTACAATTACTCTCCTTCACAATAAACTTCAGACAATATTCCTGAAATAAAAATGGCACTTTCAAAACTAACCATATTGTAATGAGCAAGAATTATGGTCCCCTGCTTTTGGTGTCTTAGTTGGGACATAATTATTTATGGTAAATTGTAACTGCTTTGTCTGTGTGTTTTGTTTCATCTGTCCCAAAAAAAGATTTAAATTTTTGAATTAATAAAAGTTACGACCAAGAGCAAAGTTTCAAGGTCAAGGTGATGAGGTAAAATACCGGTATCACACAGGTAGGTTAAGACTACTCATAGAATATAAAAGTTCACTTTGTGCCTTCACTTCACTGAACTACCAAAATATGACGTCATAATGGAAAAGATGTCAAGTCACTGCTTATTGGAGCTGTTATAATAGGGAAAGTGTCATGAATTTTACACCTTATTTCAAACTACATGTAAAATGTTAGAGGGCTATTGCAAAATTCATGTGTGGTAATTGTATCTTTAAATCTTATATGTCTGAATAGTTTAAAAATACATTGCTTACGTACCCTTAATTGAAATTCAGCCTGTTCAAAGTGCTTACAAAAAAATATACTTTTTATATGTACTGTTTTATACCCACAGTTAGAGATAGAATATAATATGTGTGTATAAAAGAGTCTGGCACAGGTGATTAATTAAGAAATATTTTAAAGGTATCATTTTAAAACTTTTATCAGGATGTAAATACGGGTTGGTCATGTGATTAAGTCCCATAAATCCAGAAGGGCTTTATGGTAGAACTGATGCACAGAAGCAAATTTATGTGAAACACATCAAAAAATTATAAATGAGGGAATTCTCTATATAAATTGGCATACTTAAGAACATAACATACAAATTAAAATCAAAACCAGCCTCACAATACAATATTATGTTTTTAATCCATATTAAATCTTAGGGAAGCCCTTTAATGCTGCGCATTATACATTATGGGATCATAAGTAATGAACATGTGAAAAAATGTGAAAGTCCTGTCTCTGCTGGTGCTAAAGTTACAGCCAAAGTTATACTTTTTGATAAGAAAATTAAACTTTTCGGTGAAGCCCATGAAGTCAAAAACATAGTACATTTGGAAAGGTCTTGTCGCAGGTAATGCACATGTGAAATATGAAAGCCTAATCTTTTCACATTTAAGTTATGACCAATGTGAAAGTTTTTTGTGACATATGGACAGACTGAGAGACAGATGAATGAGATTTAATCCCTCTTTCCTTTCATGAAAGTGGGGGACAATAAAATATCATGAATCCTCAGTTCTCTCTCAGTTTACTGGGGATATTTAATGAGTACATGTAGATTATTTACATGCATGACAACCAGATTTTTTTTTGACTGAAATATTTCCCTGTAAAGATTAATCCTTACTTTAAGGAAGTCGAGATTCATCTTGGACGCATTCTGTAAGGCTACAAGGACATTCTTCAGACCAATACAGGTCTCAAGGTACTGTACACACAACTGCTCCAACCGGGACATGTGGAACTGAAATAAATATTGGGTTACAGTTTATGTAGGTTAAAAACATTCTAGGTACTTCTGTCTATAGGACAAGATGGTCATCCACATATTATGAAGTTTATAACTCTTAGAATAAATCACCTGCAGATCACATGTTTAAAAAGACATCTTCAAAAATTAGGTCACCCAAAAAGGAGACTGAGTCAAAAGTAATTATTATCTATGGTGGTTACTAAAACATTACAAACTGAATGAAAAAATTATCTAATGAAGAGAAACTTCTAATAATTCCTGTTATCTATTACCTGAAGTGCCAGTCTATACACATCCATCATAAGAAGTATCACTTCATTACTATTAAAATCTTGGCCTGAAAATAAAGAACATGCATTGCATCAATATTTCAGTAAACATGTAATTAATGTCAGTTCTGATATGCCACTGTTTCATTTAAATGAATTCATGACTTTTTTCTTCAACAACCCAAAAAGGTAAAAAAAAATTAAATGCGTATTTACACTATACATATAAATACTTGTTCAATTATTCAGTGCCTCTGAAAAGTAATCAATTTATGCAACTAAGTCTAAAAATTACTCTTGAATTAGGGGAAGAAGGACACATGGTCACATAACTCAGTTTAACCTTGTCATTGTTTCTGATAATGTTTGTGTAAATTTTTTATAACAATTTGTTTTACTTCAACATTTTATATAAAAATATTAAAAAGTTTTAATGTTCATGTCACCATTAACAAACAAGAGGCCCAAGGTCCTTAACGGTCACCTGAGTATAATACAACAATTTAGAAGTTAAATACACTGAGGGATGAAGCTTTGTTGCCCTAAAGCAAGAGAAGTAGGAAGATCAGGATCAACAAAATAATTAGTCTAGTATTCAGTATCAACTCATAAATTATGTTCTAATCTGTCCCCCACTTAATATTATCACCATGCAGAGTAATAACAAACTACTAGTGCTTTTGTACTATTTTTAAACCCATATTAAGACCTCTAGCATTGACCTCTCTTATGGTCTTTGAAGAACTTTTAATAAGATAAGTTATTTTTGTCTCGTTTTTATTTATCTATTACTTACAGGTCTACCTGATTATTAAAACTAAGAGAGTACTTTTTGAATTATACAATAAACATTCTTGCATAATTATCTTATTCTATTAACCTTTCAAAAACATTATTTACAGTGATTAATCATCAAAGATGAATGGGAAAGGGGAATAACTTCTCTCAGTAGAATACAAATTAATAGAGCCCTGCCCAGGACCAGAATGCTTAGACGAATGGTCCAGATGTTCAAAAATCTGGTAGAAATACGCTTACTTATATCATTTAAACTTTTACTCAGTTTGCTTTCGATATGCCCAGAAGCAGAGAAGAATTTCACAGGTACAATGCATTTTCACTACAGATTCAACAAAGCCTTACCCTAACACCAGAACCCAAGACCAAAGGTCAAGAAATTTACAAATTTGGAAGAGTTACCCTCATCATCATAACTATGGACTTCAAAGAATTAACACTTTTCCACTATATTATCAAAAGCCCCCCCCCCCCCCTTCCTCGTTATGCCAGAACCCCTGACCCTAGGACCACAAGATTTAAATTCTGTTCGAAGCTCCCATCTTCATCATAGCTAAGCAATTTATTTATCAGCTCAACACTAGGGAGCATACAGGATTAGTTAATGACTAATTAATAGAATTAATGCATTTTCACTATATAATCAATAGAGCCCCCCTCCCCCCTCCTCAAGAACCCCAAAAACTGAGGCCATGTATTTAAAAATTTTGGAAGAGGCATCCTTGCCTATCATAATCATGCACTTAGTTTGTTTAAATAATCTCCAGTAGCAAAGAAGAAGATTTTCATAGAATCAATGCATTTTCACTATACATCAATAGAGCCCCGCCCTTACACCGGAACCCCTGACCCTGGGGCCATGAAATTCACAATTTTTAAAAAGGCATCCTTATGCATCATAACCATGCACTTAGTTTGTTTAAATAATCTCCAGTAGCAGAGAAGAAGATTTTCAAAGAATCAATGCATTTTCACTATATAATCAATAGAGCCCCACCCTAACACCAGAACCCCTGACCCTGGGGCCATGAATTTCACAATTTTGAAAAGGCATCCTTATGCATCATAACCATGCACTTAGTTTGTTTAAATAATACCCAGGAGCAGAGAAGAAGATTTTCAAAGAATTAATGCATTTTCACTATATAATCAATAGAGCCCTGCCCTAACACCAGAACCCCTGACACAGGGGCCATGGCTTTCACAATTCTGGAAGGGGCCCACCTCCTCATCATAACTATGTACTTAGTTTATCACCTTAATGCCCAGGAGCAGAGGAGAAGATTTTCAAAGAATTAATGCATTTTCACTATATAGTCGATAGAGCCCCACCCTAACACCAGAACCCCTGACCCTGGGGCCATGAAATTCACAATGTGGGAAGAGGCTCTCTTACTCATCATAACTATGTACTTAGTTACTTAATTTAATACCCAGGAGCAGAGAAGATTTTCAAAGAATTAATGCATTTTCACTAGATAGTTGATAGAGCCCCGCCCTAACACCAGAACCCCTGACCCTGGGGCCATGACATTCACAATTTTGGAAGAGGCACTCTTCCTCATCATAACTATGTACTTAGTTACTTTACTTAATACCCAGGGGCAGAGAAGAAGATTTTCAAAGAATTAATGCTTTTTCACCATATAATCTATAGAGCCCTGCCCTAACACCAGAACCCCTGACCCTGGGGCCATGAATTTCACAATTTTGGAAGAGGCACTCTTGCTCATCATAACAATGTACTTAGTTACCTTATTTAATACCCAGGAGCAGAGAAGAAGATTTTCAAAGAAATAATGCACTTTCACTACATGATCTATATAGCCCCGCCCTGGGGCCAGAACCCCTGACCCTGGGGCCATGAATTTCACAATTTTGGAAGAGGCACTCTTCCTCATCATAACTATGTACTTAGTTACTTTATTTAATACCCAGGAGCAGAGAAGAAGATTTTCAAAGAATAAATGCATTTTCACTATATAATCTATAGAGCCCCGCCCTTACACCAGAACCCCTGACCCTGGGGCCATGAATTTCACAATTTTGGAAGAGGCACTCTTGCTCTTTATAACTATGTACTTAACTACCTTATTTAATACCCAGGAGCAGAGAAGAAGATTTTCAAAGAAATAATGCACTTTCTCTATATGATCTATATAGCCCCACCCTGGGGCCAGAACCCCTGACCCTGGGGCCATGAATTTCACAATTTTGGTAGAGGGCTCAATGCTTATTACAATGATGCCAACAGTTTGACTGCTTGATGTCCAGGAGTAAAGAAGAAGATTTTTAAAGATTGCATTATTTTTGGTGGTTTTAGCCCCACCCCTCAGGCCCCAGGGGGGCAGGGACCATGAAATTCATAATTTTTGTTCCCCTTCACCCATAGATGCTATATGTCAAATTTGGTTGAAATTGGTTAAGCGGTTTCAGAGAAGAAGCTAAAAATGTTCAAATGTTAATGCACGACGCACGCCGACGGACGAGAACGGATAGCAATAGGTCACCTGAGTGACTCAGGTGACCTAATTATAAAATAGATTGTTCCAGTCCTCTGTTTCCCTACACTGCACATCCAACAAGTTAGTGACATCATACACGATCTGTTAGTACAACAGGATCATACTATGTGATTACATGGGTAGTATTTTTTCCATTAAACACGTCATTATCAGTGCACGGTGAGGTAATTTGTGAAACAAGGAACCCAAAAATTATTTTTGCATAGTTAGTAGCAGAAATTTTATGCATTTTTATCTAATTTTGCTTATCTAGTTTGCGAGTGGTATCACAGTTGGTTTTCCTCATACTTGAGATAAATGTTAACATGAAGTCTGTCTTTTTAGCATGCTTATGTCTTGCTTAACAATATCCTGTGCAAAAATGAGGTAAGCTTTGCATTTCAATATTTCTACAGTCAATAAATTTTCAAAAATTGAATGATGGAATTTTTTGAAAACTTCTTTTCTTGTTCAAGATGTCTTCAAATTTGTATAAAATACAAAATATGAAAAAAATTAAAGATAATTTTTTTTTAGCTCAAGGTTCTTCTTCCCCAGAAGTCAAACTTACCTTCTTTAGTAGGTAGAATTTTATCTGTGTATATGTAGGAGAGGACCAGTTTCAGCGCTGTAGGGTTTGCCTCGGGCAGAATCACCTGTATAGGGTCGGAGCTTGTCGCCTCATCCAGGTATCGCTGTTCTTTAGCGGTACGTATCTTCTCTGCTAACCACGATGACCTAGCAGCCACTAACGCGATGTGTGCAGATATACATTCCCGCGTCCCATCCTGAATGATTGAGAACATTTCAAAGTTATTTATTTACATGTATGTTTACCAGAATACAATACACAGTATGCAACTCTTAAGGTGTATTTTCAAATGCTACATTTCAGGACACTTTATGGGATGTAGATGTAGGTTTAAATATTTCCAAATACATTATTTTCACTCAATTTTACAATTCTAGAAATAAAATATCAATGCTTTGAGATTATTAGTTTACCTTGCCGACAATAAAGTGTAGGTCACAAAACTGCTGACTTTCTAAAAGCTTCCCAAAATCCTCATGAAGAGTACACTTAGGATATCTTGAAAACTGAAATTAAACTTAAACATTAATCAATTTAAACATGCATTTAATGATAGAATTTGAATATGAAATTTCAATTTGCATATTTGAATAAAATGAAGATATTCAAAAGACATGTAACTCAATTTTATAGCATTTATGTAAAGCATTGTAATCACCTGAAATCTATACATCTCTCCACTTCTGACTATATTATCCACTGTTCCACCAAATACATACATAGCATCATCCACAACAGCAGCAGCGTGGAAAAGTCTTCCAGCAGGTATCTTAAAGCAATTCATAAACACAGATACTGATAGTTAACCATTGGTTAGAAGTGTAGAGTCAGAGTCCTCTATCATTTAACATTCATATTTCATACAGATTATTTGTTAAAATAATAAACAGACAATTTCCAAGTCCCAACATAACCCTTTATGTGTATCTATTACATTGTATTGTACATGAAAAAGATTTTTTTGTTATTGATAACTATAAAATGTAGAAGTTTTAATGAAAAGAAAGAGATACATGTACAACATATTTACAGACTTGGATGGATGGATGGATGGACATACAGATAGGGATAACAACAATAATCCAGATCTCTCTTTCAATAACATACAGTGTATGTGTAATCTATCTTCTGAATAAGAAAATCTTAACCAAGATAATCATCAAAGATACAACAGGTCACTACATGTTTATATAGTCTGTAGTGATTCAGTCCTCTGTAATACCTGGCTGTTAGGTGCAGGTTCTGTGATGGACCAGGTCTGTGAATCCAGATCAAAGCTAGAACAGAAAACAGGAAATAAAAGTCACAGGTTGTCACATTCATGTAAAAGCTACAAGTATAGTAAATGTATAAGTAAAGTATGTTGGTTAAAACTATAAATGCACAAAAAACCATATATGTTACGACCAAATCTGTTTCCTCACTTTACTGCTTTCAAAATTTACCATTCTCTTGCTAAAAGCCTTAAATGTAATGTGATTACCTTCCGAAAATAGGAAATTTGTACTATTTTTAACAAGCATGATTCTTTCAGCACTTACATAGTGTATACATGAAAATGAATATATTTGAAAGCTTTGGAATAAAAGTGTGTTCCTTCACACAAATAGATGCTATTCTAATAGTAACTGTTATACAACAATTCTGGCATTTATCAGTGCAAGAAATGCAACACCAAAGTTGTTTGAAAATGTTGAGTTTTAAGTCATTCACATCAGTCAATGTTGTTCTAAAAGTAAACTATTTTATCATCAAACCTGTGCAGTTCATTAGGTAATGTTTGTCCAGTAGCTCCCCCAAACACATACAGATGTCTGTCAAAAGCCACCATAGTGTGTCCATACCTCTTCTCAGGAGGGGGCAGGGCACCTCGCAGAATGTGTTCTGTAGAAATTTTTGTCCATCTGACAAAACATTAGCAAACTGCTCAACTTTCCTTGTAAAATTTTAGACATCTCTAAATAAATTTTTATAAAGAATGTTCTTTTCTTCAATAAATTACAATCTCTGAGATATGGACATTACATAATTATTAAACTATTAAAGAAATCAATATAAATGATAAAACTTACTCATTTTCTTTAAAATTAAATTGGAAGAGATGATTTGTTATTTTGGCTCCACTTTGTCCAGAAAATACGAACATTGAATCCCTGGCCACTGCCAAGGCAAAGTTACAGCAGGTGGGAGGAATGTTTCCTCTTTGTTCAACCTAAGTGTGTTTCAAGCACAGGTAACCAATAGCAGTATACATGTAATTACATGTAGATGTACATGATTATTTAAATATCACACAGTTATGAAATTATTATTGAAAGGAATGTTAACCAAGATAATGATAATTTATCGATAACATGTAATTAAGATACAAATGCAAATTTTATTTATTTAAGTAATGAATTTAATAGCTACCCAACTTATACGGTATAAAGTGGGTTGGGGCAGTTTATGCTTTATAAACTGCGTTATAACCAGAATCAAATTATTTAAGAAATGAATTTTATTTTTGAAGATTCATGAGGACATGAACTATGACGCTTCACGCCGGCATATTTCATGAAGCACGTTAGCTTCATGATAAATATGCCAGCGTGAAGCGTTGTAGTTCATGTATCTCATGAATATTCAAAAATTAAATTCATTTCTTATATTTACATTATTTTTCTGATAAGTTTCCACAAATTATGTCATTCAAATGTCATTTTTAAAGCAAAACAGTTTGCACTATAGTTTTGACATCAAGTACGGTATTATGACGTAACAATGGATATATTCATTCTCATCCATGGTAGTTCATGAGAAAATGAACAGCCTTCTAATTTGCAAAGAATCTTAAGGAAAAATATTTGGAAATGTAAATATTTATTTATAAACCACATATATCTTCAATGTTCAAAAAAGGTTTCAAAATGCCTTTATTCTAAACTTTTTAACAAATCCCTGTACCTCTTGCCATTGTCTTTGTTCTCCGTTCAGAGGGACTGTCCACATGTCATTGAGTCGGGTGTTTCCATCGTATCCCGCAAATATCCACAGCTTCCAGTCATACACTGCTGCACCATGAGCTGCTCGAGCAACAGGTTTTCTAAATAAATATTCAAATATTTATACGTCAGGTTTCTTCACAGACAATAAAAGAGTTGAAATCCTCCATTTCAAACAATCATTTTACACAGTGTGTGTTTTGTTTAATTCTTACTATCAGTGCATCATATAGGTGGAGCCAAATTTACCATAATTCCAATTCAAAATTAATTTAGATTTGCATATAGTATATATATTAGTACCATAGCTGCATAAAACTTTATGATCAAATACAAATATGACACTTCACAGACTATTTGAATTTAATGTTAATGATGTTTAGACATACAGTAATTGCATTTAAAAAGCTGGGACATTTGCTTTGTACTTCTACAGCACCTAATACATTTATATATGTACATGTTCACACATTGTACTAGCAATGATCATGAATCTGTGTACAATTGACTTCATTATGACCCCGATAAATTAAGTGTAGATCTACAAATCACACCAACCTTCCTTCATACTTCCACTCCACCCACTGTCCTTTAGCAAAGCGATACTCGAATAGGTCATTCTTATTGGTTAGATTTGAATTCGAGTGGATATCTCCTGTGTATCCACCTAACACAAAAAATACACATTATAATTAACTCAATCTAATCAAACATACTTTAAATTCAACCAATCATGATCAAAATCACATTTGAGTCTTACCAAACACAAACATGCTTTCTTCATGCACTACAGCAGAATGGTGGTATCGAGGGGCAGGAGGAGTTCCTGTCGTGAATGCTCTTTAATATAACAAGTGAAGTCAGAATGATTCATTGCCACTTATATTTAAATTTAAATAAAGTCTGGGATTTTGTATTGTCAGAACCATTTAAAATATTCATTCTTTCATTGAAAAAAAAAGTTACCTTCCCCAAGACTTGTCTTTCACATCAAATCGCAACAAGTCACTCAGCATGTTTTTCCTAGAATAATATACATGAGCACACTATTCAAGCAACAAAAGAGAAAGTTAATTTTTATACCATGTGAATATATATTTAAATGTGAAATACTGCTGGTTTCATTCTATTTCATCAGCAGCTCCTTTTACAAATACAATATAATCTATATTAAACTAAATGTGAAATACTGCTGGTTTCATTTTATTTCATCAGCAACTTACTAGAGAGCTTGAGCTTAAATTCTTTATGTGCATTCTTAAAAGCTCCTTTTACAAATACAATATAATTTATATAAAACAAATATCATTTTAATAGTCATGGAAAATTGGAAACATACTAAAAGTATGACTAATTAATTTGAAATTAGAAATACCCGTTATCACCACCAAAGACGTATATTGCATCCTTGTAGGCAACCACTGTGTGTTTGCTTCGTCTGTCAAAGAAAAAATAATATACAAGGCACTTATTCTATTTCAAAGAATATTTTTTTTCATAATTAAAAAGTTTACATTAGTATGCCAAAAAAAGTATGAACAGGTAATTTTACATGTTGCAAGCCACAAAGCCAAAATAAAAATTGTACAAAATGTACAAAATTGAACTTTTCAAATAGTTACAGAAAAAAAAATCTATCTATTATTAAAGAAATTCAATTTTTTTCCCCAAAAATTACCTGGTATATAGATAACATTGCTTCAAAATGTACTGCAAACAATACTTAGTGACTATACTTTATTCAGACATGTATTTATGCCACAAACCATGTACCAGTACATTATATATGAGGGTTGTCCCACTAAACCCTAGCATACAAACAGCCTATCATATTTAATTTAGATTTTCACTAAGTTTTTAAGACTCACTTCTCTGTAAATATGCAAAACATGATTGACAAAAAAGAAATACTAAAGAAAATTTGAGATTTTCTATCAAGCAATGTTATGCCCATGAGGTAGAGCATTAAATGTAATATTGGTTTCAAAAGTGAACAAAATTCAGGAATTTCCTTGAATTGTAGGAAATTATTCATGTATTTAAAAGACATTAACTATGAGGTAATTATTCAAATTTGATGATGTTTGTTTAAACATTCGACTTCGTTCTACTATGATTTCCTATAGAAATGAACCATAGTATGAAGTATTTGAAGCAGACTATTGCCAGAACTCTTTGGCGTCGGAGGTTTAAACAAATATGTCAGTGCTTTGAAAAAATCAACAACTTGATTTTGGTTGGATTTAATCCTTTAAAAGGTAAGAAACAAAAGTTTTATAGTGATAGGGAGTTAAAAGGATGTCCAAAGCAAAAAGTTGAAGCAGGCAGGGAATTCATTTCAGCCTGTATTGATCGAAACAAGCGGTCGATGTCCAGGCAAGATTTCCCTAGTCACTTCAGGTCCAGCACAATCTCTTGATTTAGCTATATAGCTAAATAGCTATATAGCTTTATTAAGCTATTCAAAATAACTTGATAAAGCTATTTATATGCATTTTTAAAAAAAAACTTTTTGTAAGAAATAGACAAAAAGTCGCAAGTATTTGACTATTCATATATGTACTATGGCCTATCAAAACAACAACCGAAATCAAAGATAGTTGTAACATTGCATCATTTGAATACTTTTAAACAAAAGATGAATTTCCATTGTTTGAGTAACTATTGTGTGCACTTAGGCATGGATAATTATGATTGCTTCTCATTGCACTGAATTATTACCAATCAATTATCTTGTTGACCATAACTGGCCTCCTTTACATATTCCATTGAAGCAGTAACTATATCAATTGCTTTATATAGCCCCAAAACTTTTATAACTTTGAGTGCAAAGTCTCTTAAGGAGATGCAATTTGATAAGTGATTTTTACATGCATCATTTTCAGAAGAGTTCAACGTTAAATATTATCACTGCACCAAGGTGCGACTTTTTGTGCATGCTGAGAAAATAACATTTAAGAAAAAAGTGTGATAAAATAGCTAAATCAAGCTATCATGAATAGCTTAATAAAGCTATATACCTGAATCAAGCTTTAAGCTAAATCAAGAGATTGTGCCGATGTCTACACCTGCACTTTGTGTGGCACTGGTCTGAGATTCAGAAGAGACCTCTGTTCAAAAATTTTAGTTTCGATGGATCTCACTGAGATTACTTTATAAGTATCTTGATGCGCATTTATGATTAGCCAAAATAAAAATTTTCATTTTTTGCACTGTAAACTTATATCCCATTTGGGATATTTTATCCCAAAGGGCTTTTATCTGATTATATCACAGGAGATCGCAATTTTATCAATAAAGTCAATAGAAACACTCGATTGACCAAGCCATGAGCTATGCGTTAGCATAGCAAACAGGAATGCAACGCATTTTTGGAGAAATCGACCAATTTGCTTTTACCCACCGCTTATTCAATACAACTTGTCAGCATTTGTATCAAACAACATTTCTCTACTAAAATTTGCTTTCTAACCCTTCTTGGATGCTGTCAATACCCACTTTCTTTGATTTCACGTAAACATTCCTTTTACCAAGAAGCCATTGCATGACGTCACATCAAACCCGAACCCGACAGATAATTATTCGATTGTCTTAAATTAAAAAAAAAATAAATGGTTGTCAATTATTGTACATATTTTATTTTATAAATAAATTTAATAAATCATAATACTTTATATCCCCTGATTATTTTTTTATGGCGAGAAACCATGTCAAGTTGTTCAAAAACAAAGGGCGATAATTTCAGTTGCATGTGCGGGCAAATTGGAATATTGAGTAAGTAAAAAGAAATTCGTTGTCCAACAACTTTGCTGATACACTTTGGTAAGTTGGTGATAATATAAAGCAACAGGAAATAATTTAAAGTTTATTCTCTATCTTTTTTTTTATTTAATAATTATCTGTCAGGTTCGGGTTTGATGTGACGTCACGCAATGGCTTATCGGTAAAACGAATGTTTACGTGAAATCGAAGAAAGTGGCATTCCTGTTGCATTCCTGTATGCCATGCTAACGCATAGCTCATGGCTTGGTCAATCGAGTGTTTCTATTGACTTTATTGATAAAATTGCGAACTCCTGTGATTATGTCCCATTTCGGCGATTGGCCCCACCTGATAAAAGTAATTTAGCACTTGGTGTTAATTACCTTGCACCAACAAATTCATCACATTCTGGCATTCTTCTCCAGCGGTGAACAGCCTCAAATGGACCAAAATCTAAAGTCAAACATTCCATTTTCTTAACTGATATTAATAAGTTTACTTTCTTGGCAAGTGCGCGGGTTATCGATCTTTGACAATTCGTTCATTGAGTTATTCTCGTATGGTTCATTTATCACGATACTTCAAGCAGTAAGTCTTTTAATGATTACCAAACCTTCTTTCATTAAATTTTTGATATCACAATTTAACATTAAACAAAAATTTATCGCAATTTCAAGCATCAAATAAAATACGAAAGATATTCAGTACTAGTTATTAAATATTTGTAATGGAGGACAGACGGGCGTGAGAAAAACAGGGAACTTACAATAGGTTTTATTAACTTTCATTATATAGCTGCAAAACTGTTTATCTTGCATTTGAGTCTAAGCATTAATATGGTTACCAGATTGTTGTAAAATATCTAAGGGAAAATCTTGATTATAATGTTAGACATTCACCTAGACAGTTAAGATGTGGAACAGTTGCAGTAGTCACTAGTGCTGTTATATTGATTTTTATGATAACAATTTATAATAGCTGTGTAAAATTTAATCTTTGACCCTAAAGCGGTCATACTAAAATACGCCTGCCGACGCCTGCCAGGGGAAAATACGCCTGCCGAGAAAATCTATACGCCTGTCGTGTTATTTATTGACGAAATTTATATTTTATTAGATATATTACTTTAATAAACCATTTACTTGATGTTTTACCAAACAAAAATAATTTTAAAAGAATAATTTGGAGTTTTTCATTCGTATTCTAGTATGCATACACCATAGAGCACGCCTGCCGAGAAAATCTACACGCCCGCGGTGTTGTTTCTCTTATTACGTACTATTTTATATAATGTAATACTTTAATAAAGTCTTTGGTTGACATTTAACTAAAAACAAAAGAAAGAAAGAAATATTTGATTTAATAAAATCTACACAAGAGTTTGCAGTCATATTAAAGGAGATAACTCTTACTTCACAATACTTATATATGAATAATATTTTCCGTTCGTCTTAGAAGACTAAGAATTACTTTTATATAGGATGAAGTTGATGTATGTAAAACAAATGATTTTTTTTTCTTAAAGTTAAATATATGATTTTATGTAATTTTGAAATTTACGTATATGTCCAAGAGCACACCTGCCGAGAAAAACTATATGCCTGCAATGTTCATGGTGTTTACTTTTATAGATTATATCATTACGCATAAAGTTAACATTTGATAAATAATGAAAATGGAAAAATAAGATATATGTTTGATTCGTTTAATAAACTACATAAAAGTTATATAGTAATATCAAATTTTAAAGAGATAACCTTTAATTGGCCATACGATGGGAAGAACTGAAATATTTTATTCCAGTAGCCTGAACGTATATTTTCAGTAACTCGGCATGCTCGGTGCACTAATAATAAAATACACAAATCTTACGAGATCAGAATTATTTTATTCATACATGTATGTGTGAAAAAAATAGTAAACTGTATTGTACCACACACACACAATGAGTATATTCGATTTTTATAGAATACCATGCATTAATTAGACTTAAAGTTTTCACATCACAGTCCTACAATATAATTTTCTGTTAAAGTTTGGTTGATTCAAATTAGTCTGAACATCTAGTTATGAGATCGTGATGTGACATTGTAAATACATGTTGAATTTCTTTTCACGTTTCTGGTTCTCGTTTCTGTCTTCATCCCCCCCCCCCCCCCCCCAAAAAAAAGAAACGAATCATAAACAAGGAAGGTTTCCGAAACCATTTATGAAGATATAGTATAATTAAAATTGATTCACGATACAGATTGTGTAACCATTATAACAATCTCTACAATACTAATCTGAAGAAGAACAAAAAAACCACAATTAATTATTTACAGAGGCGTATCATCGTTCGTGTGTGTGTGTGTGTGTGTGTGTGTAATGCAGCGTTCTGATGTAAATCGGCGATCTTTTCAATAGTTTTCAAAACATGAAAGTGTATTAAATCCATCCATTTTTCTTGAAATTCGTTTATTTAACTTAATGTGTAAAATTTTACTAATTCTGATTTTGTGGTTCATCATTCCATCATGGAGTGTGTATAGCGCACGTGCAAAACTTCACAGTTTGTCATGTACCTAATTATGTAATATCACATAATATTACGTACTTGTACTTGTCTTGTATACATGAAGATCGATAATTTAGTTTCAATGAGATTTGCAGTCTGTGTATACACAGTAAACATAAATTCAGACATCCATATCATTTCAGACTAATTTAACAATCTTCATATACTATAACAAAGATACTGTAACATTTGTGTACTTAGTCTTTTGCCATTTTTCATCATGTATATAGCGGGAATATTTGGAACTTTCGAGGGATAATTTTTTTCCTGATTAAACTAAATGAATAAAATCGATTATTTTCAAAATCTTGCAATCTACTTTAGACCATTAAATTTTCGATAAAACAAAATGAATAAGACAAAAACAGTTGTCTCTTTAAAAATTTAACTTCCGTAACCGTAATTCAGGATTTTATTTTAAGGTATATATTTTTTTTATTATTATTTTGGAAGCGAAATGCTTCATACTTTTGATTAACATCTTAAAACAAACGTTATTTTTAAATATTGTCGAGATTTTTAACTTTTTTGGCTGGAAATTAACTTCGTAACGATTAACTTCCGTAACGATATTTTTCACGAATTTTAATTTATCGGATTCATGCGAGACTTCATTAATCAAATTTAGCGTTCTATACTGAACATCAGAAAACAAAAATTGGTCAAAATCAGCTTTATTTAAAAAATAAAAAGACTTGTTCAAGCATTAACTTCCGTAACATTCCTTAAAATCAATGGTATGTTGAAATTGTTGTAAAAAGTTAACGATAGCCGATTTGTGGGTATTTTTTTTTTAAAGTTAACTGATATGTCCTTTTGAGAATTATAATGTTGATTTTGCTATTTGAAACAATTATTTTTTTTTTCATGTTTTATACCCTGAATTGAACCTTTTATCGTTAAAGATATTTCCTATACATGTACACATGTCAAATACATACATGTACATGTTGTTTTTCTTATTCATTTCGTCTATTTCCATATAGATGGTTGTATAGGAAGAGCCTGAATTATTACCTTTCTCTTACCTGTAACATTTTGTATTTATTTAAATATAACTTTGTTGCATATAACCTGAAATAATAATTATACATTGATGTTAAAAAAGGGCAACATTGCCTTGAATATTTCAGATTCTGATTCAAAACGACTACCCGTAAAACGCATAGTTTTTACTGACATGCCTTCGTAATTCTGTAAACGAATATAAAATCAAATACCTAAAGTTTTTATTGAAAAGAGGGGGAAAAAAAGAAAGAAAAACACTAGGTACGTGGTCTAATCACAGCAGTTCCTATTGTCAAGCAAGAGTTATCTCCTTTAATATTGCAAACTCTCGTATCAAACGCTTATTGAATCAAATATAAATAAAATTATTTTTCGCATTAATGTTTGGTCAAATGTTAACCAAATACTTTATAAAAGTAATATATCAAATATTGTATAATAAGAAATTATAGAGACAACACCGCGGGCGTTTAGATTTTCTCGGCAGGCGTGCTCTACGAAGTATGCAAACTTTAAAACGAATTAAAACTCCAAACTGTGCTTTTTAAATTATTTTGGTTTGGTAAAATATCAACTACATGGTCTGTAAAAGTAATATATCTAACAAAATACAAATTAACTCGATAAATAACACGGCAGGCGTATAGATTTTCTCGGCAGGCGTATTTTCCCCTGGCAGGCGTCGGCAGGCGTATTTTAGTATTACCCACCCTAAAGTACCGATCATGTGATGTCAAAGTTCTAAAAGTTTTGGGGCTATATAAATGCTTGGAAAAAACCACATGGAGTTGGCACTTTTATCAATAAAGTGAAAGTACATAAAAAAAATGGGCATAAATCCTACCAGAGGGCTTTCACAAGTAAAGTGACAGAATGGGAACAAGTTTTCCTGATTTTCTTTAATTCGCTAATTCGTAAACATCAAATACCAGGAATCACATCCATAGTATTAATTAATTAATTCTGACATTTTTACCCCACCCCCACACATTCATTTTATTGCCATTTTTGCACATCTCATTCTTTACAAGGTGCCATTTATTTTATCCATTTTTAGCTCACCTCGACGAAGTCGAGATGAGCTTATGCTATGCCCCCGGTGTTGGCGTCGGCGTTAGCGTCGGCGTCCCAGGTTAAAGTTTTAGGAGCAAGTCCATTCCCAAGTAACTACAAGCTCTACCTGGACCAAACTTGCATGGATGATGCATCTAGGGATGGACACTACCACACTTGCTTCGGATGCTGGATCTGACCTAGATTTTCCAGATGAGTGACCAGGTTAAAGTTTTTGGATCAGGTCCATTCCCAAGGAACTATAAGCCCTACCTGAACCAAGCTTGCATGGATGATGCATCTAGGGATGGACACTAACACACTTGCTTCGGATGCTGGATCTGACCTAGATTTTCCAGATAAGTGACCAGGTTAAAGTTTTTGGAGCAGGTCCATTCCCAAGTAACTATAAGCCCTACCTGAACCAAAGTTGCATGGATGATGCATCTAGGGATGGACACTACCACACTTGCTTCGGATGCTGGATCTGACCTAGATTTTCCAGATAAGTGACCAGGTTAAAGTTTTTGGATCAGGTCCATTCCCAAGTAACTATAAGCCCTACCTGAACCAAACTTGCATGGATGATGCATCTAGGGATGGACACTACCACACTTGCTTCGGATGCTGGATTTGACCTATATTTGGAGCAGGTCTATTCCCAAGTAACTATAAGCCCTACCTGGACCAAAGTTGCATGGATGATGCATCTAGGGATGGACACTACCACACTTGCTTCGGATGCTGGATCTGACCTAGATTTTCCAGATGAGTGACCAGGTTAAAGTTTTTGGAGCAAATCCATTCCCAAGTAACTATAAGCTCTACCTGAACCAAAGTTGCGTGGATGATGCATCTAGGGATGGACACTACCACACTTGCTTCAGATGCTGGATCTGACCTATATTTGGTGCAGGTCTATTCCCAAGTAACTATAAGCCCTACCTGGACAAACTTGCATGGATGATGCATCTAGGGATGGACACTACCACACTTGCTTCGGATGCTGATTCTGACCTAGATTTTCCAGATGAGTGAATTTTAGCCATATTTTAATCAAATTAGCATGGATGATGTATCTTAGGATGGACACTTTCAGACTTGTTTTGGATTCTGAATCTGACCTACATTTTCCAGATGGGTGACCAGAGTAATGTTTTTGGAGTAGCTATATAATATTATGGCATGTTATGATTAAACAGCTTGGATGGTACATCTAAGGATGAAAACTTCTAGGGGTGAAACGATACACCTCCTTCACGGTTCGATACGTATTGTATAATTTTGTCTCTGTTCGGTTATTTTCGATACGATACATTTTGATAGAAGGAAACAAATTCAACATTGTTTTATGCTTTCTTTTTCTAAATCTAGTCACATATTGTACGAATTTTATTTGCAAATTGACTAGAAGAAATTGATTAAAATTATTTGAGTGTCAAAAATTATTTTACAAGCTATCAGTCATAAAAAATTTACGTTTTCTATACTTATTTATACTGAGTAACGTGTTTTACCTTATGCCAAACCCGACTGAATAACGATCCCGACCGAAAAATGAACCGAACCGAAAATTAGAGATTTTGCACCGTGTATCAAACCGAGAAAAAATACCGCGGTGAATCGATACCGCGGTGAACTGTTTCACTCCTAAAAACTTCCAGACTTGCTTTGGATGTTGGAACTGTCCAAAATTTTCTTGATTAGTAAACAGGTTAGAAGTTTTTTGAGCAGGTCTATTTCCAAGTATCTATAAGTCCTTCTTAAACCAAACTTGTATGGATATTGATCTTGGGATGAACACTAACTAGAAAAAATATGATGTGAGATTTGCCTTACTTATAGATAGCCTTCGTCGAGGTGAGCTTCGTAATCTTTGATTACCTATGTTTACAAATATTGTTCTTAACCAACTGTCAATAAATTACGGCTGGTTAAGAACAAGAAATAAAATGAAGGCGGGGAGTAAATGAAAAGTAAAAAATGTTGGGAATTAATAAATTACTAATAACACTAAGGATGTTATTCATGGGGTGCATTCAAAAGTGTTGCAGCTCCGTAGCCTCTAGCTAAAGCCAAGATCTTGAACGTTAAGGTAGCCTAACTGCTATGTAGGGAGAGCTAGCATAAATATTTGACGCTAAGTACCAAATGCAAGATGGCCTCTTTAGTTACCACTTCACACCATAAAAGATTTTAACAAAAAGGGGGCTATATTTTTATTTTACACTTATAATGATAGAAAATTATATTATCAAGAATGAATTAATATCTTCCCAAGTTATACTTGTATAACCTGGATTGGAACAGTGTACACTTTTGTATAGACCACTATGAATAATTTGATGAATGAATGCTGTAAAGTTTGTAGATGGCAATTATCATAGTACATGATTTAAGCATGCTAATGTTCATCAGTTATTTTTTACAGCTGTGACATGGGAGATATTAAGCAGTTTTTATATGCCTGGTTGGGCAAGCGCAAAGCAACACCAGGATATGAATTCTCGCAGACTGGATCAAAGCATAAACCAAGGTTCAAGTGTGAGGTAACTGAGTTCAGCAAAGCATCTAGTTGGTAAAAAGCTCTAGAATGAAATAAACAATTGAACAATCAAATTTCACTACAGCTTTATAAACTGGTCACTGATTTTCAACACTAGGTTAGGGCTGAAGGCTTTGAATACATAGCTGTTGGAAATTCTACCAATAAAAAAGATGCACAGACAAATGCTGCTAAGGACTTTGTGCAGTATCTTGTACGACAAGGATTAGTCCAGCAAGCTGAGGTCCCAGCACTTGAGATGGTAATATCTTTACTTTGAATGTTGTATCTTGTCAACAACTGGAAAATATTGGTTATATTATTATTTACATTTACTATTTAAACATAGTGTGAAAGCCTTTAGATCTCAATGCTGTAGGACCTCTTATACCTGCAATCATGTATTGAAATTGTGTTCAATCCAAAACTAGCCCATTATGTAAACACTTTGAATTGCACTGCAGTGTTTGAAAATTAGTGGAAACAATTTTTAATTATTTTTGTGAAAAATGAATATACATACAGTGTATAAAATACTTAAAAAGATGCATTACAAACATGTACCTCCAGCCTTCAGTTGGACAGAATGACTGTGAGCCAGGGACATCTCAAGGTCCAGGGTTTGTTGGCCTTCCTGGAGGACTAAATGCCCCTCATCAGTCACTGGGACTAGGTAAAACAAAACAGCATGTTTATATATTCGAAAGTCAGTGATGTTTAACACTGATTTAAGGACTACATGTATAAGGTTTCTATTTTTATGTTCCTCATTTACTGTCTCCTAAATGTATTTTTCCAACTGATATAGATAGTCTGAGGAATTATTTTTAACACATCTAGTATTAGCATTGGATACTTGCATGTTTGCGCAGCTATGTTAAGGCTGTCCGAAGGCTTAATATGCAATAGATATATACTATTTTATTTTGAGCTATGTTTTGATTTCAGTTTGTAATCTATGTATACATACACAGTTAAGTTTTAAAGAGAGTTGAATAAGGTATTATAAAAAAGCATTTTTGTGATGTCACATGACTGTGTTGATCACGTGACGGACACTTATAAATTTCCTTAAATATTGCACAAAAATCGCATCGGCACAAGTGAAAAACAAAATTATTGTGAACGGCTTGTTACATAAATCAATTAAACATGTTCTTGGGTATATATAAAGTGCTGGGGGCAAGTCTGAATTTTAATTCTTAGGAAAATATTTCACGAGAAATTCAACTTACCCACATACAAGGGGTCATTTTCCACTCTTCATCGCAATTTATATAAAATGGGATAAATCACATACAACCCCCCAGCAAAATTCAGTTAGAGGACACATTTATCTAGTAGATTCACACAGAATATCTTCAATTAATCCTTATCATTCACTTGTGCCAGTTTTATATATATAAGATTTATAAATTCTATCTCTGTCTGCGGACGTGTAAGGGGGAGCGTTTCACATTCCTTTTTTTGTAATTGTTTGAATACGCACATGTTAGACAAGACAAAAGGAATAACGATATTATACTGCAAATATTCACCATCACAACAGCCTTAAAGCAAGAATGCAGACATTTGAATTAAACATCAACGTAAAAAATTCTACATGTGATGTGAAAGGAATGTAAAAGTTATGACACTTTCCCCGACAAGTCAGCTCAAGTATGCAGTAACTTGGCGTCATATGTCATTATGACGTCATATCTAGGTATTTCAGAGAAGTTACTACGGCTGGTACACTGTGACATTCTTCGGACAGCCTTATCCTAGCCACGTGGTAGCAAGATGGGGAAATAGAAATATTTTTTTGTAATTTGATCCTTGTAATAGAGGAACAAACCAAAATAAAATTTATTATAACACATCTGATTAGTATTGATAGGCACCTGTATTGGCTAAGCACAACATGTACCGGTATGCTATTGTGTTGTATAAATTGATTATTTATGGAAAATTTTGAACATTCAAATCAGTAAATTAAAGTAATGTTGTTTCTTTAAGATGGAGGTGGAAATGAAGGGGAATATGGACAGCAGCAACAGAGAGAATTTGCACCTTATCAAAGAGGGCCACCACTTAGTTACATGGAGAGAATCGCTGAGAAACGTATTCTAGAGGAGGTATAAGGATGTCTTAAAACAGCAAAATATCCGTCAAACTTTCAGTACTTGCTAACTGCTCTAGTACTTAGTTTTTGGAAAATCATTTCCAGTTTTAAGAGTGGAAACTTTTTTGTAGTCAGAGGATGTTGATTTCAATGCTGACATTCATGGAAACTGGACCCTGGAGAATGCTAAAAGTCGCCTTCATCAGTTCTTACAACAGAATAAGATCCAGACAGACTATAAATACAGTATGGTAGGACCAGACCACAATAGGTGAGACTAACAGATCAAATATTTCTGATTACCTGCTTATGCTTATTTTATGATGTTTTATCATATAATTAGATTTTAAAGAAAAAGGTCAAAAGGCACGAAACAATCTCTATGACCTTTTGAGAACTCCCACATAATATCTAAATATCTAATAGATATAAATATCTAAATCAATGATAAATAGAAATGCCACATACTAAAATCCATGTTGTATGTCATATAAACCCTTGGGCCCCATTTCAGCCCAAGGGCTGATACAGGGCCACTCAAGCTGATATGACGTATAATATGGATTTTGTGCGTTATATTTTCTGTTTATTACATTTTATCTGTTTTAATAATCATTATCACTGTCCAAAACAGGAAAGATATATGGGGTTTTTTTCATCAGCATCTTTGAATAATAAGGATAACTATAGAGGAATTTATCATTTGTAGTTTACTAGGCATAAAATAGGCTTGCTTTACTTGTGATATCTTAGTCAGTTAGTTGTTTATGTATTGTACATGTTGTAAGTGAACATAATTAGCTTGATTTAACATTGTCTTGTGCCTAATTTTTGTTGAACACAGCTTGTCGTTAAAGATGTAAGTTTACAAGTTTTTATATCTTGAAAAAATGATATTTTGGGAACACTGTCATATGAGAAACTGCTCACAAATAATTCATTTAGTTTTGATCCATTGTCCTTTAGCCAAAATATACATGTAGATGATCTGTATACTCCAGATATTGCTGTATACTAATTTACTGTACATACAAGCCTTTTACAGGTCGGTGTATTGCACTGAGGTATAGATATGTAATTTTGATTTTGTGCTGTGTTGCCTCGTTCATCCAGATATTGAACCCCAATTCATTTGGATTAATTAATGATTCAAATTGTGAATTTTCTTCCTTAAAACTTTGTGTAAGTACTACGACAAAACTCAGTTTAAGAAAAAATCATTTTCCTAAAAGGTGAAGTTACTTGTTAAATAAAGTGCCAAAGATATTATTTTGTAGAAAATTTTATTGCTTGTAAGAGTTGTTCATTGTAAGAGTATGACAGTATTACTTTATATCATTGATAAGAACCATAACATTGACAGATTCCATACACAGACAGTGTATGTTCTTACCCCATGCCAGAGAGGGATGGAGTGTTAACGTGTTTTGAGAATGATGCTTGATTAAGCTCAATGCTCTTTATATTTATTTCAGTGATTGAGTTAATCACATTTCAGTTTCAGCATGAATATGTTTTTCATCAGAGACAAAATCTCCAGTGATTTTTTTCAGTGGTATTATGGAATCAATTTTTTTTTTTTTATAACAATCACTTTATAGGTAATTTCACAGCTTATTTCAAAAATGACTTGTTTCCATCATGCTCCTGTCTTTTTATTCAGGTTAAATCAATTTAAAACTCTTTTTCTTAGAGACAGCAAGAATACAACTGCTCAAGGTGATACACATGTAAAGCCAACTTTTAGAAGAAATATACAGTACATGTATAATGTAAAGGTTCATGTGATTATCTTTCAAATTTTTCTCATTGAACAAGAACCACTACCAGTAGTGTTTATGTTAGGAGTAGGGTTGGATACCGGTACTCGGTACCAATACCATACCGAATAGTTACTTCAAAAATACCGGTAAAATACCGTTTCATTTAATACCGGTACTTATAACAGTATTTCTCAATCTTTGAAACATTTTAATACATTCAAAATGATTTTTAAAAAAGAGATTCCAGACTCGCCAAAATAAAATTCTCCGTGCATTGAAATGGTAGGCTAATTGGATGCTTAGTACAATACTTGCTTTTGACTGCCGATATTCGAGGTAAATCAATACATACATTTAAAAATAAAAAACATTCACATTAATCGTGTTTTAATTTTATTTATAAAAACTGATAATAATTGTAAATAAAAAAAGCAAAATGTCGCAAAAATGTGATGTGCATATCTATCCATTTTTAATGTTTCGTCGTTTAGTACAACCAAGCAAAAATGGGTCCTGGCAAGTGGCAACTGGGTGAAGCGGTCAGCTGTATCAAGTTAAATTAATTTGTTTGAGATTCAATTTATTTGTTTTGTTAATGATTTATTAAAAGATTGAAATATAACATAGTTTATAAACTCATTTTAGATTATAACAATGAATGGTTGAAGATTGGTGAAAGCACATTTGTTATCAAATGAGCTCTCATTCTCATTCATTGAGGTATAGTACTGTATCGTTAAAAATACCGTATCGTTTTAAAAATACCGGTATGGTATCGTACCGTTTCATCCTTAACGGTATCCAACCCTAGTTAGGAGCAGGTATGGCACTGAATAGGACTCTCCAATTTTGTATTGATAAAGAAATATTTACAAAAGTCTTCTCGTGAACAAGGTTACTGTTGTTTAGAGTACAGGTAATATAAAATTGACCTCATTGGGATTTTTTGTTGTCAGCAGGGCCATCAGTTTAGTGTGTGGCAAAATAAGCGATGTAAATTTCATCTTAGTCATAATGTTAGAACAACAAGGGGTCTGAGAATTGTCATGTGAAAAATTTCCATCCATTTTCAAAAACAAATGTTGTACAGATGTTGAAGTAAATTATGTATGTCAGCAAACCAGGGCACTAAAAGAAATTCACCAAAATGGCACTGAATGGAGTTAAAATAAAGAAAAGAGGAATTCAGTCAGAACACTTTAAACTATCACCTTGCATATTTTAATGTCATGTGCATGTGTCTGCAGTCAGACACCTGGGACACTGACAACAAACAGAGGATACCAGTTTCTTGTAAAACTGGTTGTTCTTTGTGGTGAATTAAACTTTTGTTGATCAGAAAAAATACAGCAGAAAAATGTAACATCAGACTTCAGGGATACTTGTCATTTTCAGGACATTGTAATTCTAAGTCTACAGTGAGATGAAAATAAAGAATAAAAACAAAATCCTGGATATTAAAAAAAGTTCAAATGTTTTTTCGAAATTTAAAGATTTGATCTCTAGCATTTTAACATAACAATGAATGACAATTTGAAAAATATGTTGTGTCCATTGACATGTTAAAATTAACAGATTGGGATATTTTCTAAAATGAAAGAGGGAAGGGGATTGCCATTTTTATCTGGGTTTATTTCAAGAAAAACATGGCTGTATTGGTGGGAAACACCTTTATTGCTATGGTATAAACAGTAGTCTGAAGTTTACATTTTCTGATCAACAAAAGGTTTCACAGAAGTTGTCATGGAGAGGTGCCTAAAGTAGTGCTCTGGTTGGCTGATTCAGAAGATGGTGTTTCTAAGGTAAGTACTAAAATAACTTTGTGTATAATTCTTTTGAGATAAGGGATAAGGGAAAGAGTACTGCCCTCTCTTCAGGCACCCTCTTAGTGATTAGTATGTCCATCCATTGTTCCATTTCATCATCCATCTGTCCATCCAAGACTTTACTGGAGCATATTTGTCTCCCCTTTGCACAATCTCACCTACAGATTGCCCTTGGATAAACATGCTATAATGATATAAGGTTTCTAGGTAAAAGGTCAAGGTCAAAATAGGTGTGTATGTAAAATCTTTGTCTCAGAGCATCTCCCTTTGACCAAATCTGTATCTTCAGATGGATAAAGTGTGTGCAGTGTTTGAACCAAGTCAAAAGTCAACATTAAAATAGATTTCTATTATGTAAACTCCATAGAGAGGATGATTATGTTCATACTTTTGGTAGTCATTAACAGTGTAAAATGCTGTTCTAAATTAAGTTTGGGTGAGAAAAAAAAGTTTTATATTTTTGCTTCTGTTAAAAAATACAAGTTAAAAAATACAGTCAGGTAACAATTCTTCTTTCAATAAGGTGAAATCTTTTCTGAGAATAAAATTTTCTAAGTGCAGACCTTACCCTTATCTTCTTTACTGGAAGTGAGGTCGTTTGAGATGGTCACGATCTCCATGAATTTGATATCTGATTTTATTTCATTTAAAAAATATATATATATTTTGGACATTTTAACAAATTATTAGTTATCTCTTCTAATAGCTTATTCCAGATTTTTAGATTAGTGATCACCACAAAGCTTGTAACGTTTAAGACTAGTGTACAAGATAAATGGGATATCTGACCTATAATAATTATTTTAAAACTTTTTACACTTTCAGGAGCTTTATTGCAGAAATGAAGTTTTTTGTGAATAAGATACGTCAGAGTAAGTTTATTTGAAGATTTAACCTTTTATTATATATACATGTAGGAAAAACACTCAATAAATTAAATACTTAGAAATTAGAGTAACATTTATTCACTTAATTATGGATAATCTTGCAACCTTTTCAGACATTCATGCCAGAGAACATGGCTCCAACAAACAGGTAGCATCCAAGTCCTGTGCTTTATCCCTGGTGCGTCAGCTTTTCCACATGGGGGTCATCGAATCCTTCACGGGTCAAACCAAGAAAAAGGATCAGGACAAGGTGAGATTTAATAAGTCGTTAATGTCAAGGTTATTGATTCACTTGTTATCAAAGATCTACCAAAAAAAAAGATCTACCTGTAAATCAACCATATGTCATTGTATACAGAAATTGTCATAGTTTAGGCCAAATAAAAAAATATGTGTGGTTACGGTTACCCGACCTTCCCTATTTTATACCCCCGACCCTAAACTTTTTTTTGGCAATTTTCATATTTTTTCCGGAATTTTCCCCCATTTCCATCAATGGCTCCGGTTTAAGTTTTAGTTTCAGCTATGACGGCCTCCTTGCAAAACATAGTGCTAGTATTTAATAGTGTTAAATCCAAAGCAAGCTAGCATGTAGGTGTCCCCTACCAATATTGACTAGTATATTATCACACCACATCTAAATGCCATTTGAAAAGCAGTGATAGGTATTATTTGGAAAAATTAAGAAAATCATTTTGTTTAAAAAAAAAAAAAAAAAAATTCCCTACTTACCTACCCTAATTTTTAGCTCACCTGAGCCGAAGGCTCAAGTGAGCTTTTCTGATCACATTTTGTCCGTCGTCCGTCCGTCCGTCTGTTTGTCCGTCTGTCTGTCTGTCCGTCCGTCTGTAAACTTTTCACATTTTTGACTTCTTCTCAAGAACCACTGGGCCAATTTTGATTAAACTTGGTACAAAGCATCCTTGGGTGAAGGGGAATTTAAATTGTTAAAATGAAGGGCCAAGTCCCCTCACAAGGGGAGATAATCAAGAGAAGACAAAAATAGGGTGGGGTCATTAAAAAATCTTCTTCTCAAGAACCACAGGGCCAATTTTGATTAAACTTGGTACAAAGCATCCTTGGGTGAAGGGGAATTTAAATTGTTAAAATGAAGGGCCAAGTCCCCTCACAAGGGGAGATAATCAAGAGAAGACAAAAATAGGGTGGGGTCATTAAAAAATCTTCTTCTCAAGAACCACAGGGCCAATTTTGATTAAACTTGGTACAAAGCATCCTTGGGTGAAGGGGAATTTAAATTGTTAAAATGAAGGGCCATGTCCCCTCACAAGGGGAGATAATCAAGAGAAGACAAAAATAGGGTGGGGTCATTAAAAAATCTTCTTCTCAAGAACCACAGGGCCAGTAAAGCTGAAACTTATATGGAAGCATCCTGGGGTAGTGTAGATTCTAAATTGTTCAAATCATGACCCCCGGGGGTAGGGCGGGGCCACAATGTGGAATCAATGTTTTACATAGAAATATATAGGAAAAATCTTTAAAAATCTTCTTCTCAAGAACCACAGGGCCAGAAAAGCTGAAACTAATGTGGAAGCATCCTGGGGTAGTGTAGATTCTAAATTTTTAAAATCATGACCCCCGGGGGTAGGGCGGGGCCACAATAGGGAATCCAAGTTTTACATTGAAATATATAGAAAAAATCTTTAAAAATCTTCTCAAGAACCATTGGGCCAGAAAAGCTGAAACTAATGTGGAAGCATCTTGGGGTAGTGTAGATTCTTAATTGTTAAAATCATGACCCCCGGGGGTAGGGCGGGGCCACAATAGGGAATCCAAGTTTTACATTGAAATATATAGAAACAATCTTTAAAAATCTTCTTCTCAAGAATCACAGGGCCAGAAAAGCTGAAACTAATGTAGAAGCATCCTGGGGTAGTGTAGATATAAATTGTTAAAAGCATGACCCCCGGGGGTAGGGTGGGGCCACAATAGGGAATCCAAGTTTTACATTGAAATATATAGAAAAAATCTTCTTCTCAAGAACCACTGGGCCAGAAAAGCTGAAACTAATGTAGAAGTATCCTGGGGTAGTGTAGATTCTAAATTGTTAAAATCATGACCCCTGGGATAGGATGGGACCACAATAGGTGTATTACATGGGGGAAAGTCTGGTGAAGAACAGCAGGGCCAAAGTTACTCAGGTGAGCGCTGTGGCCCATGGGCCTCTTGTTTTGGAAGTGTAACCGGAACCACACATATTTTTTTGTTTGGCCTTATATAGATGGGTGATTTTTTTGGTTGACAGTTGGAGTTGTATGAAGTTTCTGTTCATCCTGAAGCCTTGGCACAAGTGGACAAAGCTCTGCAGGAGTGGAATATTGATTTTGTGCCACGGGTAAGTCAAAATACAGAAATCTGAAACAGATTTGTACTTTCTACTCTTGTTAATTCCATTTATACATATTATATTCATTTAGTTTAAAGCAGCAAAGTTCATTTCTTTGTTTTACATGTATTTCAAAGAAGTAAGTGCCATGAAACCTGTTTGGAATTAGAATTCTTGAAAAGTATTTTGTTAATCAGTCAATTGTACTGAATTTTTTTTTTTTTTTGGCCTGTTAGCAATAGAAATACAAAAACATTCACACAAAGTGCTTAGTTACCTCTCTTTCTCTCCCAGCCTGCAGATCCGAATCAGCCCCACTCCCTTTTGACACGAACCACGTTGGAAGAGTTTGAGCCACAGCCACGCAGAAACACAGCAGGGGTTGTACCATGGTCCCCACCACAGGCTAACTGGAACCCCTGGTCTGCCTGCAACATTGATGAAGGGCCACTGGCAACTGTAAGATACACAACACTATAGATTCATTCCAATAAAACATGCATTTTCATAAAATGTTTAGGTTATTAAATTGTTTTCAATTTCATTGTAGTATGTGTAATAAGGTGCCTTATTTAAGTTCATATACATGTACATGTAAAATATATAGATGTGTTAACATGTATAATATTTTGTTGTAGGCCACTATGCCTCAGATCAGTGAAGATCTATACAACAACCAGGAACAGTCCCGAGCACATAACGAAAACCTTAAAGCGGTAAAGATCAAATCATTATTTTAAATCTTCCTATTAAGTAAAGTGAAGAAAAGTATTGCTTACTTGGCTGAAGCCTTTTACTCTAGTGAGGAGCATAGGCCACTGACAACACCTTTCCACCTTCCCTCTTGAGCTAGTTTTTAGCTCACCTGAGCCAAAGGCTCAAGTGAGCTTTTCTGATCAAAATTTGTCCATTGTCTGTCGTTGGTGTCGTTGTCATTGTTGTCGTAAACTTCACATTTTCATCTTCTTCTCCAGAACCACTGGGCCAATTTCAATCAAACTTGGCACAGAGTATTCTTGGATGAAGGGGATTCAAGTTAGTTCAAATGAAGGGCCACGCCTTCTTTCAAGGGGAGAAAATTGTGAATTCATGAAAAATTTATATCATCTTTCAAAAATCTTCTTCTCAAGAACCACTGTGTTAGAAAGTATGAAACTTATATGGAAGCATCCTCAGGTAGTGTAGATTCAAGTTTGTATCCTCAGATAGTGTTGATTCAAGTTTGTTCAAATCATGACCCCCAGGGGTAGGGTGGGGCCACAGTGGGCGATCAAAGTTTTACATAGGAATACATAGGGAAAATCTTTAAAAACCTTCTTCTCAAGAACAACAAAGCCATGATTGGTCATATTTATGTGGAAGCATCCTCAGGTAGTGTTGATTCAAGTTTGTTCAAATCATGACCCCCGGGGGTAGGGTGGGGCCACAGTGGGCAATCAAAGTTTTACATAGGAATACATAGGGAAAATCTTTAAATATCTTCTTCTCAAGAACAGCAAAGTCTTGATTGATCATATTTATATGGAAGCATTCTCAGATAGTGTAGATTCAAGTTTGATCAAATCATGACCCTCAGGGGTAGGTAGGGGCCACAATGAAAGTTTAAACTTGTAGGGAAAAAGTCGCAGTCAAAAAAAAATGTGTAAGCATCCTCCTTTATTGTAGATTCAATTTTGTTGAAATTTTATACACCCCCCCCCCCCCCCCCGGTCCCTTTTAGGGGTAGGTCAAGACCACTTATGCATTTAAGCATTGCAATTCTAAACTAATTTTTGCTTTTTTCCTAGCCACTGTGCTCAGGTGAGCAATGTGGCCCCTGGGCCTCATTCCAGATGGTTCCACAATTGCCTCCCCTTAGGTCGTTTTCCCTGTGGGATCCACTAGAATGCCTGCTGAATGATGGAAGTTCTCAGCTTTCTTAATGTGTAGCTAATCCGTTGTCATCTCATTAAAATGCATTATCGACAATAAATGTTGTTTTTTCAGATGATGGAGGAGCGTGCTATGTTACCAGTATATCAGTCCCATGACCATATCCTGCAAACTATTGAAGAAAATTCAGTTACTTTGATTCGTGGAGAAACAGGATGTGGTAAAACAACACAGGTAGTGTCATTTATCAATGTAATTTACATGTATATTAAATATTATAAAATGCTAATTGCAGTTCAGACATACACATATAAATGCTTGTGAGAAATGGTTATGTTTTAGGTTCCTCAGTATATATTGGATAAGGCCATTGAAATGGGCACAGGAGCAGACTGCAATATTATAATCACTCAACCACGCAGAATCTCAGCTGTTTCTATTGCCGAGCGTGTTGCTCAGGAGCGTGGAGAGGAGTTGGGAATCAGTGCTGGCTATAGCGTGAGATTTGAGTCAGTATTCCCCAGGTTCTATGGGTCAATACTGTACTGCACTGTGGGTAAGCCATTAAAATCAGAGGTGCATTCCAGCTTTTTATACAGACTGAACCAGACCTCTTACCTTTCTTATATGGTGGGATTTTTTTTTTTTTTTTGATTAGGTACATTACTAAGAAGACTGGAGAATGGTTTGAGGGGAATCTCACATGTGATTGTGGATGAAATCCATGAACGAGATATCAATGTAAGTGGAAAGGCATATTGTAACCCCTCATAAACACAATCAACTTCGTTGAATGAATAAATGTAGAAATGAAAAGGGAAATCTTTTAAGAAATCAGAAAGATTTATGGAAATCGCTTGGACAAGTTTTATGTTGCACTATATTGTATAAGATGTATAAATAATCTGATATAAAACTATGTTTACTCCATATTGTTAACTCAAACACTTTACACAGAAGTCTACCATTTTGTTATTTCATCTCCCACCTAAAAAAAAATTACTACTTTTCCACAAAATCCATTTTTGGATGGCTTGGGTCACTATTTTGGAAGTGATATGGTTGTAAAATCTCATTGCTTTTTAGAATATTGCATGATTTGAACTTAGAGCATAAAGTTTTTTGGGGGTACCTATGTTTATATAGATTTCAAGCAAGATTTGACATTGACAGATGCACAGTGATTATATTGAATTCAGTTGATTTTTTTTTTTACATCCCTGCTAAGAAGAAGGGCGAGATATCTAGAATCTAGATGATAACTTTTGACTTCATTCATAAAAGTACAGAAAGGGAATTATCATTCATTTTTAACTTTTTTGCAACTCTACTTGTGCTTTCAGTCATAGGGGAAATACAAATCTTGTTTTAAAGAGATACAAACTAGTTTTAATCTGAATTGAATAATTGCACCATCTTCTCTATTTGGCAACTAAGTGAACAATTATTACTACCAGGCTATACCAACAAAGATCGTTCTTCAAAATGAGCCACTAAGTAGCCACTAAAAGCTATTGTGTTGAGCATCAAAATATTTCTTTGCATATGTAAATGGTGATTTTGTCTTCCTCAAATGAATTAAAATTAAAATAAATTATCACAGAGATCATTAGTGGCCATATTTACTGGTACATGTACATCTTTCAAAAATTGAAGTGTAAAACACCATGTGCAATGCTACTACTTTTAAGGTCTGAATCCCCCCTTTTTCTTCACAGTAGGTTAACATGTATGGTTTACTCTGATTGTAATACATGTATGCACCAACAAAAAATAGGTGAAGGGCATAGTGAAGGTTACATTGAAAAAGCTTCTCTTTTTTTGTTAGCTCACCTGAGCTGAAAGCTCAAGTGAGCTTTTCTGATCACATTTTGTCTGTAGTCCGTCTGTCCGTCTGTCTGTCTGTCCGTCTGTCTGTAAACTTTTCACATTTTCAACTTCTTCTCCAGAACCACTGGGCCAATTTCAACCAAACTTGCCACAAAGAATCCTTGCAAGAAGGGGATTCAAGTTTGTTCAAATGAAGGGCCACGCCCTCTTTCAAGGGGAGATAATTAAGAATTAGTGAAAAATGAATAGTATCTTTTAAAAATCTTCTTCTCAAGAACCACAGGGCCAGGAAAGATGAAACTCATATGGAAGCATCCCCAGGTAGTGTAGATTCAAGTTTGTTCAAATCATGACCCCCGGGGGTAGGGCGGGGCCACAATGGAGGATCAAAGTTTTACAAAGAAATATATAGGAAAAATGTTTAAAAATCTTCTTCTCAAGAACAGTAAAGCCATGAAGAGTCATATTTATATGGAAGCATCCTCAGGAAGTGTAGATTCAATTTTGTTCAAATCATGACCCCCGGGGGTAGGGTGGGGCCACAATGGAGGATCAAAGTTTTACATAGAAATATATAGGAAAAATCTTTTAAAATCTTCTTTTCAAGAACACTAAAGCCATGAAGAGTCATATTTATATGGAAGCATCCTCAGGAAGTGTAGATTCAATTTTGTTCAAATCATGACCCCCAGGGGTAGGGCGGGGCCACAATGGAGGATCAAAGTTTTACATAGAAATATATAGGAAAAATCTTTTTCTCAAGTACAGCAAAGCCATGATGAGTCAAATTTATATGGAAGCATCCTCAAGTAGTGTAGATTCAATTTTGTTCAAATCATGACCACCGGGGGTAGGGTGGGGCCCAATGGGGGATTGAAAGTTTTACATAAGAACATATAGAAAAAAAAATTCTTTTCAAGAACAGAAAAGCTATGTTAGTCTTATTGATATGGAAGCATCCTCAGGTAATGTAGATTCAAGTTTGTTCAAATGATGACCCCTGAGATAGGGAGGAGGTACAATGGGGGATCAAATTTTTACAAAGAAATAAATGGGAAAATTCTTTTAAAATCTTCTCAAGTACAACAAATTCATTTGTTATAATGACATGGAAGCATCATCAGGTAGTTTAAAATTCAAGCCCCCCACCCCACCCCCCTCCCCGTTCATTACTGAACTGATTTGTGCCTTAGTTTAGCCAATGTGCTCAGGTGAGCGATGTGGCCCATGGGCCTCTTGTTCACAGACTGACTTCCTTTTGGTATTGTTGAGAGACATGGTACAGGCATATCCCCAGCTTAGAGTCATATTGATGTCAGCTACTGTGGACACCACTCTGTTTTCTGAGTACTTTGGTAAATATCAAGTGGTGGAAGTCTATGGCAGAACTCATCCTGTCCAAGGTAAAATAAACTGCATCCACTAAAATTCAGAATGTACGGTAGAAATAAGCAGTTCAATAAACTATAGCTGCTTGTAAGGTGAATATAAGTATTTATTACATTTTCTACAGTGAAATACAGTAATTTATTTATTGAATAAAAGTGATATTTTATCACAGTGTGAAATATTTTTTTTTCCCATGTGAAAAAATAGCAGCAATAGTGGGAAACTCAACATTTTCCTTTCCTAGAGTGTTGTACAAAACACTCCCTAGCCTGTTATAAGATATTGAGAGTAGATGAACCATCCTGACAGAGACTACCAAATTTTCTCCACATTGTTAAAATCCATGTTTACAATTTTCAACTCACAATTGCTATGACATCTCAACTGCTCAACTATGATGCCACAGCCTATGATATTGTGTTATGAAAAGAAAAGACGGAAGTGAAGGGAAAATTTTAAAAAAAAAAATGTAATAAACAGAAAATTCGATGTTTTGTAGTTGAATATATGAATTTTTTTCACCCGTGAGAATATAAAAAAAATTTTGTCCCACTCCTGAAATAAATTCTATATACCAACTACGAAACATTGAGTATTCTCTATGTACATGTACTTGATAATATTCAAAAGTGTTCTGCATTATTTTTATAGTAAAGAAAGGGAGTTTATTTGATTCCCTTGATGCATAAAATACTAATAGACAATGGTTCCTACAGAGTATTACTTGGAGGACTGCATACAGATGCTTGGTTTCATTCCACCCCCGAGTGATAAAAAGAAGAAAAAGGACAGAGAGGAAATGGGGGAAGAGGGGGATCAAGAGGTTAGGACATTATTTACATTTAGAATGGTTCCTTGCTTTATCACTGTCCATAATGTATAATAAAGAGATGAATGTGACAATTCTCTTTCTACAGGAAAACTGTAACTTGCTGGTAAACAATGAGTATTCAGAGCAGACAAGAAGAGCCATGGCCATGCTGAATGAGAAAGAAATGTCATTTGAATTAATAGAGGTCAGTTTTTGCAAGTTCCATTGTAGCATAATTTAGTAATTTATCAAATTTCATGTACTGTATGTGTATTACAAACTGAAGATGGAAGATGATAAAGATAAAATATATATATATCAGTATCATAAGGATCTCGGTATCATAAGGAAGGATTGTTTAATATTATTGTATGACTGTTGCAGGCTCTCATCCGATACATTAAAACTTTGAAAATTCCTGGTGCCATTTTGATTTTCCTACCAGGATGGAATTTGATATTTGCTTTGCATAGATACCTAGAAACTCATCCAGAGTTTGGTAAGCCCATTTGTTCTGTAAAATTAGATGGAACTCAGATTAAAAAAAAAAAAATCGAGATATCCCAGGATTTAAGATATTGAAGTTAAAATGCATAATGAAAAATTGTTTGAGACTTCCAACTCACTTTGACATATCCATATTATTTGAGATATCGATGCTCGAGATACCGAAGTTGAACTGGATATTTATTTTTGTCCTCTTTAAAGGTGGTCCTATGTACAGAGCCCTGCCCCTCCACTCTCAGATCCCCAGAGAGGACCAGAGACGAGTGTTTGAACCAGTCCCAGAGGGAGTCACAAAGGTAGATTATACATTTTAATATAACACATAATGGGGGATTACTGGGGTTTTCCTATGTTTATGGAAATTTTGTTGTTAAAATAGACGCACAAGCATTCAAATCCTGCAGCTTTTGTATTAGATCAAATGAAATTGCAAAAAATAAACAGAGAAATCTGAGTGCTTTTTAGTGTAGAAATGAACTGTTACATAGTACCTGTATTTCATATAAAACTAAATCATCTCGGTACAATGAGATAGGGAAGATTTTCTAAGAAATGTACTGTTGTATATTACAGTATACAACAATATTTCTTTATCCATTGTTTGTGGCATATGTACATGTCATTTATATTGTTGTTCATGTATATCTTTCAGTTATTACATGTATCTACTTATTAACTACTTGTATGTACGTGTAATTTTTCTTCCAGATTATCCTGTCCACTAACATTGCCGAGACATCAGTCACCATCAATGATGTTGTTTATGTCATTGACTCCTGCAAGTAAGTAAACAGTATCTTCTTGTATACAATACCATAACTGAATCAGTATAATTACATTCTTTGTTAAGATACATGTACTGGGTTTTTTTTCAGATATTGATACATGTATATGAATATGACAGATTTTATTGTCATAACTCCTTATACCTCAACTGACAGTTGGCTATTGTACCCTATGTAAATTTTTGTACTCCATGGCTTATGTTCCATTGGGTAGTACATGTACATGTAAATTTTTCATGTATGTTTCATTTATTGTTAGGGCCAAGATGAAGTTGTTTACGTCCCACAACAACATGACAAATTATGCAACAGTATGGGCCTCAAAAACCAACCTGGAGCAGAGGAGAGGTCGGGCAGGTCGAGTCAGACCAGGCTTCTGTTTCCATCTCTGTAGTCGAGCCAGGTTTGAAAGGTCAGTCAAACCAAGAAAATCAAGTCATTAAAATCTGTCTTCATCTACTTAGTTGGTGCTCATAGTGATTCTGATTTTCATGATACAAAATTTGTACACATATAGTACAGAATTAGCACAATTTCTGTGTTGATAAAGAAAGATATAATAGGTCATTGTTAATGTAGTGTATTTCACAAAACCATATTGAATTATGAAACTGATTTTTTATATTTGCATATTTAGACTGGATCAACACACCACCCCTGAGATCTTCAGAACTCCACTCCATGAATTGGCCCTTGCTATAAAGCTCTTGAGACTGGGTCCAATCGGTTCTTTCCTGGCCAAAGCTGTAGAACCCCCTCCTATTGATGCTGTCATTGAAGCAGAGGCTCTGCTTAAAGGTTTGTACAATACATAAAACATGGACTGAGGTCAAATGCAAAAGAGAGAGAGGAATGTACATCTAAATGATACTGGATTCAAATAGTTCAAGGGAAACACTATGAAGGAGAAGGAAAAGTTAGACAGCACAAACTGATTCACATAGTCTTAATTATGCAATCCTCCATCTGAAAAAAAGACTCTCTTAGAGAAATCTTTGCATTATGGAGATTCTGGTAAATGAATTTGGACGACTGTAGGAATAAAACTCTATTCTATTTCAAAACTGGAATTATTTAGTGTTGTTTACTTACATTTTGTGTTCCATCTGTGAATTGCCTACTTTTTCCCAGTATTTGTGTTTATTCCCTCCAACAATTAATTCTAACACAGCATAAAATACTTAATATGCAGACTGGCTTTTAAATTTGCTCTGGACAAATACTGTTTTCTAGTTTGTCAAAACCTAATTAGTTTGACTTAGATTTTTACAACAAACATTTTGGTGTACGATATGTCTATATAACGTCATTGTCATCAAACTTTTTGGACAGTCCTGGTAGATACCCTAACATTAACACATAATATTGGAATTATCCAAAATAATGATTAGAGAAACAAAATTTTAGTTGTACAAGAGTAAATGCTCATAATCTGGGCTGACTTGGTGTAATATGCAAAGTAAAAAAAATACACTCATTAATAGTTGGACTCATATGTTGGACTATGTTTTCGTTTTATAGAAATGCGAGCTCTGGATAGCAATGATGAATTAACTCCCCTTGGAAAGATTTTGGCTCGACTCCCCATTGAACCAAGGCTGGGCAAAATGATCATCTATGGCTGTATATTCTAGTAAGTAGCTATCAAGTTAAATCTTAGAAGAATTACATTTATGTGCTAAAAGCTGATAATTCCAGTATCTACTAGATCAACACTTAGCAAAATGATTACCGTACAGGTATTTTGTATTGGCTTTATTTAATCTGTTACAAGGTTTAAAAGCAATGTTTTAAGCAGACTGTTTTCACAACATGTCAGCAGAATACGCTTTTATATTATTTATGTATTTGTGATATGAAATTCATGTACCTTCATTTTCATTACTTTGTAAAATTAAGCAATAATTATTTGATGCAGTGTTGGGGATGCCATGTGCACAATTGCAGCCAGCACAACATTTCCTGAGCCTTTCATCACCCCTACGGATAGGAGACGTTTAGGTTGGGTCCACAAGTCACTAGCAGGTAGTCGCTTCAGTGACCATGTGGCACTTCTCAATGCATTTAACCAGTGGGAAGATGCAAGGTAAACTAGAAACTGATGCTATTATCATTATTAAAAAAAGTGTTAAAGTGTTTAGGATTGTATGATTTGAGTTTATAATAGTATGTTCATTCAATGCAGATTCATTGTATAAATTGCTGATAGATGTTTTGTCACTAAATCTTACCTTAATTTTGGTTTCTCCTCAAAGAAATGTGATTTTTACCACACTGATTTATCTTACAGGGGAGGTGGAGAGCAGAATGAGATGTATTTTTGTGACCAGAAGTCCCTCTCTATGCAGACCCTGAGAATGACGTACGAGGCCAAACGTCAGCTGTGTGATATCCTTATCAATGTTGGTTTTCCAGAGGAATGTCTGACACCCCAGGTCTTCAATTTCACTGGTCCAGACAGAAATCTGGACATGGTAAAGATATCTTAGTGTTTTTTTCATACCCCCCGCAAACGAAGTTTAGGGGGGGTATATTAGAATCAGCTTGTCCGTCTGTCTGTCCGTCTGTCTAGCTGTCCGTCTGTCTGTAGACGAGATTTTGTCCGGACCATTTCTCGGAAACTGTTGCGAGGATTTGTCTGAAAATTTGTACACTTATTATTATTTGCCATATGAAGGTGTACACCTGGTATTTTCATCATGATTGGATAATTTTTTTGCATTTTACAGGTGTTTTTTTCATTTTTATTATGTGGTTTTGTCCGGATCTCTTCCCAGAGACTATTGCATAGATTTGTATGAAAATTTGTACACTTATTATTTACCATATGAAGATGTGCACCTGGTATTTTCAACGTTATTTGATAATTTTTCTGCATTTTACAGTTTTTTTTTTCATTTTTATTGACTTAGTCATTTCGGGTTCATGTCTAAGGTTTGAGACATAGAATCTAGAACATCTGTACAAAAATGTGAACTACAGCTTAAAACAACTCATTAGAACTAAAAAAAAAAAAAATCACAAAGTAGTAAAAACAGTTTTTACATTACACAGGAGATAGTGTAAATCCAATTGTGCCTTGGGAGTAATGAGTGGACATGCATCCAGTTTAAGATTAATTAATGAGTTCAGTGTGGGAAGCTGTTAGGGCATCTCTGATCAAGCAGGTCTTATCTATATCTCCTGGGAATTGGGCAGAAAGAAATAAAGATCTCTGTTGTCTAAGTCTCTGAATTGTAATTTATATCTGTCAAAATACATAGTTACTGGAACCAGCCTTTTATTTTTAAAATGAGTTTGATATAAAGGTATTAAGATCAATTTCATTTTGTATAATTAATTATGATAATTTTTTTTTTCAACAATCAATTTGCAGAGTGTCATGTCTCACAAAGATGACAGATAGTTGCAAACTATTTTTTCAATGTAATAAAAAACACTGTAATTATTAGAATTGATGTTTTATTAGGCTGCACCTTAGTTTCATTCATAAAAAAAAATATGAGCAATTAAATTTTCACTCTAAATGTTTAAGCAAATTGTGAACACCTCTCACATCTAGAAAGCATTAGTGATTTGGTACCTTCTCTGAAAAACCCAGCAGGGGGTATTTGTCCCTTTTGGATAGTTCTAGTTTTACATCCATTTTTACTTACCAGTCTCTATATTGCTTTTAAACCTTGTTTTTTCAATTCTTTAAGAAATTCACTGTAAAAAAAAATCTGATAGATTTGTTACTGTCTACTATGAAATCACTTATTTTTTGCAAGGGTTTAATATTCATTCTTTTCGTGTATAAAGAGACCCACAAATTTATGTTCTCCATGAAATTTGAAAATTCAAACATATAGCAACTTGATACTTCTTCCTCCACGAAATCAAATCCCCATTAACCAATATCTTTTCTCAATCCATGTACATTTGTAAATTGAACCCCACAAAAATAAGTGATTTTGCAGTAGTTAAAAAGGTCCCCAGTTTGTTGCTGCAGATGGTATCCCATTAAAAATGACTCCTCTTGTTACAGATGATATCGTTGCTTTGTATGGGTTTGTATCCTAATGTGTGTTATCACAAGGAGAAACGCAAGGTTTTAACTACAGAGAGCAGAGCGGCCCTCGTACACAAATCCTCCGTTAATTGTTCCAATAAAGATGTCAAGTTTCCATCTCCATTCTTTGTATTTGGTGAAAAGGTTGGTAATTTCACTGCTGTTAATAGGTTACTCTATCTCAACACTTTTGTTTTTCTGTCTCATTAATGTCCTTTTTTTTTACCTCTGACAGATTCGTACACGAGCAGTTTCCTGTAAACAGATGTCAATGGTGTCCCCACTTCAGCTGTTGATGTTTGCAGCAAGAAATGTCATGTTAGAAGAGGGCAACATTACCCTAGATAAATGGTATTATAAATGAAATTGGGAATAGTTTTAAGCTTGTGAAGTATGAATATACATGTAGATTAAGGAGTTCGAAATACTCTTATTCATTTGGGCCTCACAAAGATTTACAGGTGCCCTGTTGTAATCATTAAGTCCACAAAATTTCTCATCAAGATCTTTGATGATTGTTCAGTTTTCTAGTTAACCTTTTAAAATGATGGTCTTGAATATGTATTTTTATCTGCTTTATCTATAGGATCAACTTGCGTATGGACTATGAAGCTGCAGCCAAAATTGTGGCCCTTCGTCCACCATTGGAGGCCTTAATTGTACGAAGCACGAATAACCCTGAGGGGATTCAGAACCCGGGGTCCCAGGAGGAGGCACTGATGTCAGCCGTCAGGTCCCTGTCACGACCCAATGCTGGGAAGTTTAACCTCAGTAGTGAGGACGATATTGGGTAGGCTGTCTCATCTAGCCTGACCTTTGACAATCCATATTTCAGGGTTGATGAAAAATTTTAAACATGTACATGTTTTTCATTAAAAATAATATATATAACATAACATGTTATTAAAATAATTCATCCAGATAGTGTGATCTACCTCTGATTTGCATCATAGAATTAACATTGAAAAAAAATTAATATTTGATAGAGGAAATATGCCAGCATAGCTTTGTCATAAATGTTTAGCATGTAACTGGTTCATGGTAAAAACAACTTCGTAACATTGCTTTAGATGTATTTTTTTTTATTGTTGTTGTAGTGAGCCACCCCATAAGGTGGCAAGGTTTGGTAGTGGCCCACCCAGGGGAGGAGGGTTTAGAGGAGGCTATGGAGGAGGAATGTCTAATTTTGGAGCTGGAGGAGGATATAGGGGATTCAGAGGAGGAAGGGGTGGATTCAACAGGGGTGGTGGAGGATTTGGTAATTTTAATGTTTTCCATTTTGACAAGTTTTTGTAAATTAAAGCATCTTTGTCAAGTACATTTATGAATAATGTGAGTAAAAATGAATAGTTATGATGAGCAGAGATGAAAGCATGCTTCTTTACATCCAGGAGGTGGACGTGGATTTGGAGGAGGTGGACGTGGATTTGGAGGAGGAGGGAGAGGATTCGGAGGCGGGGGTTTCCATGGTGGCAGAGGAGGCTTCAGAGGGGGTTATTGAAATAAAGAAAATGACTGACTTGAATATTGTATTTTTAGCATTTAGTGACATATTTTGCAGCAATCAAGACATTAATTTATTGTTAGTAGTTTGACTGTGTGCAATTTTATTAGCATGTATTGTGTTACTGATATTTGATTATATGTTTAAAATGTACCTGTAGCTGCAATATTGATTGAATAAATAAATTGCAAATCATGCAGTTGTCATGGATTTAGTTCAAATACAATTTTTCAAGACAAAGGACACTTAAGCAATACTTAATGGGCCCTTTTCAGTGCCATATTACTTTAGAATGTATTACCAAATTGTTCTCATTTGGTAATAGTTAAACACAAGTGGACATTTCTAATTAAAATCACGTTAAAACATCACCTAAATCAGCATGGATTTGAAACAAATGACGTTTTTTAAATGCCTATAGATACCCCAAATCCGGAAAAGTCGTACCGAACCTATTTTGAGTTTTGTTTATTTAAATCAAGGGGAGGAGACATTTAAATCGGACACTTGAACAATCTCATGGTGGATCATTGATAGGCGCGTTTGCCGAATGATACTTCTTGCGCTATTTTACCTGAGAAAAAAATCGAATGAAGTTGTATAGATGCCTTTATTACATTTTCAACAGTGAAATACTGTGATTTATTTATTGAATAAAAGTGATATTCTCTCACAGTGTGAAAGGATACCAAAAATGATATTCTCTCACAGTGTGAAAGGATATCAAAGTAAGTAAAAAATAATTTCTGGCCTGTCATAAGATAGAGACAGTAACTAAGCATCTTGATAGAGCTAAGACTGCAAATATGTTGCTAAAATCCATGCGAAGTAATGTTTTCAATCAAACAACTGCTAAGCTATGACGTTTCAACTGCTCAACTATGACGTCAAGTCTATGACACTGTGTTAAGAAAAGACAGAGGCAAAGGGAAAATCAAAGAAAATGTAATAAACAGAAAATTCAATGTTTTGTAGATGAATATGGAATTTATTTCACTCGTGAGACACGATTTTTTTTGTATTTTCACTCGTGCTTCGCACTCGTGAAAATATCAAAAAATCCTGTCCCACTCGTGAAATAAATTCCATATTCATCTACAAAACATTGAATATCCTCTATGTATCCATAGTGATCAAACTAAAAATTTGCACGCTTGCATTTGAAATAATACAATAAGTATTAACAGTAGTTTCTTTAAATTTTAAAATGAAAAAAGAGTATAAAATAGGTGGCTTTCAATACCGGTACCATTGTCTTGCATGAATTTTAAAATGTTTGACGCTTTTATTTATGATGACATTTTAACGACACTAAACTCTCCTAACCCTCCCGTGTCCCTAAAACCAAATACATACAAACTTCTCTATGCGGCACGACTTCGATATGCAGTGGCGGATCCAGAAGTTCTTGTGGGGGGGGGGGGTTTGAGGCCCGTAGGGCCGAAGGGGGAGGGTATGGGCCCGGGATAGGTTGGGGTTCGGGGGGCCTCCCCCGAGAAATTTTCTTAAAAAATGGCTCCAAATGGTGCATTTTCCAGCATTTTAGATTGAATGAATTAGTTTTTTGCCACTTGTTTTTCAAGACCGACCTACCCAAATTTTCAAGAATTTGAACAAAAAATAAAAATTTTGAGATTTATTTTTAACTTCCATGTAAACATGAAAAATGAGACTTTTCTAAAAAAAAAAAATCAATCAATCATTCAATGTAAAATCTGATCAAATTAGAAATATCGCCATTTGATATATAATATTGAATTCTTTATTTTAAAATGCACGTTCAATGTGTCGCATGTGAAGCTCTGACTACCAAAATACAACTGATGTGCATTTTCCCAACACTTAGAAAATTTGGATTCTGTGTAGAAACCCTAATTACTCTTTTCAACTACTTGACAATACTGTTCATATAATTTGCAACATAAAAAAATAATGGTATTTCGTATTGAAGAATATATATAAATTATTTTGGGAAAATGTTGGAATTATTGCTTATTCATGGGGGGGGGGGGTAATTATAATTTCTAACATAAATGCACTCTTTAATTCTATTTTTTATTTTTACCCACTTACTAGCCCAATGTTTGAAAAAAAAGTCTTGAAAGTCTCGAAGGGTCTACTTTCCCAGTATAGTTATGTCATGAAAATATTGTATCAGGGACGTTTAAACTATAGTATATACGTCCCTGATTGTATTAATTAATTTTTTTCCAAATAATAATAATCACAGTTTATTCAAGTAGTTCAATAAAGTAACATTCAATTATCGAAGAATGAAAATTCATGAAAGAATATTACTTAACCAATACCAAAACATAACGTAATATTTGGTTGTTAGTGTATGACCTTGTGTCATCACTAGCTGCACGGACTACCATGATCTCTGTACTGTTGATTACTTGTGTATATACTGTGTGCGCTCAAGCGGAAAGGGATTTCTCGTGGTGGCTGTATATTTCATCTCTTTGTGTAAAACAGTGGACTTGGATAGAGCCTCACTTATGAAAGATATTGTTAAAATGGCACTTCTAAAAAAAAAAATTTTTTTTTGATTGGGCGGGGGGGGGGGGGGTTTCCCGAACCCCCCCAAACCCCCTGAATCCGCCACTGATATGATACAAAACGTGACTATCTTTTACAGTGAGCATCTTTGAGGAATATTTACCTGGGTAGAACTCACGTGACTACAGGTATTTTATATAATTTATTCCACGGGTGGGTTCAACATAGGTCATACAGGTAAATAGCTCTCACTTGCTATAGGAAAAACATTAAACTTTTCATACATTTTTAATATTTTAAGTACAAGCCTAATCTTGTACAAATTTCCTACTTTCACAAAAGTTTTATAAATATATAATGCGTTTTTTGTCAATCGCACAAGTTTGTACAACGTTAGGCTGATAGTAAACAAAAGCTTTGAAATGAATGACCGTCCTCGATTTACTATAGAAAATCACGAATGTTGGCTGACCCCTACCACATTGTATGGCTTTGCTCTTTGTATATTCATGAATTTCAGCGATAAAATTTGTTGAATCTTATATGGTTTAGATATCAATTAATACGGAAGCGTATTAGGGCCGCAGCAGTATCTTTTATTAATTTGTTTTAACAGATTACTAATTTGTTATAACAGATTACTAATTTGTTATAATAGATTACTAATTTGTAATAACAAATTATCAATTTGTTAAAACAAATTACTAATTTGTTAAAACAAATTACTAATTTGTTATAACAGATTACTAATTTGTTATAACAGATTACTAATTTGTTATAACAAATTACTAATTTGTTATAACAAATTACTAATTTGTTATCACAAATTATCAATTTGTTATAACAGATTACTAATTTGTTAAAACAAATTACTTATTTGTTATAACAAATTATTAATTTGTTATAACAGATTACTAATTTGTTATAACAAATTACTAATTTGTTATAACAAATTATCAATTTGTTAAAACAAATTACTAATTTGTTAAAACAAATTACTAATTTGTTATAACAGATTACTAATTTGTTATAACAGATTACTAATTTGATATAACAAATTATCAATTTGATATAACAAATTAATAATTTGTTATAACAAATTAATAATTTGTTATAAAAAATTAATAATTTGTTATAACAAATTAATAATTTGTTATAACAAATTAATAATTTGTTATAACAAATTATTAATTTGTTATAACAAATTGGTAATTTGTTATAACAAATTAATAATTTTGATAAAGTGAAAGTGTATACAGATCTATGGAAGCCAGATGAGATCAGAAATCTTTTTATAAGTTGGATTTGTGAAAATAATAAATGTACAAGCTCTGCAGCTACAGCTTTTGACCAATATGTTAATCTGGATTTACATCTTTTAGCATTTAGAGTTTTCACTGTCAAACATTATTGTTATAAAGATACAATGCATCAAATTCTTTGGTTCCTATTTACTTATTCTTAGGAGCTCTATTTGAATTTTGTCCTCCTCCCCCACCAGGGCTCCGTCCTTGACTCCCGTCTACCAGGTCATTCCATCCCCGTTTGTATGCTAGGAAAAAATATCTTATCAAAGACATGTTAGTTGGAGAGGGAATTTTTCCCACCCTGAATCAACATGTTCATTATAATATGTTTTTTTTTCAATATGTCTTTTATTTTATTTCATTTTACCCCCCCCCCCCCCCCCCTCTCGATTCATTCTATACATGTACCAAATGATTTATGCCTACTGTTCAATCCAGTTTATGTATCATGAATAAAATATATTTTAAACTAAACCGCCGTTCCTAATGCATAAACCTGAATCTGCTCCTCTGGTGAACCTCCTTGGCCCTAATTTATGCTGGGGGCAATAAAGGCAACATTGATAAAAAATGAATTTGTAGATAAATTATCATAGAAAAATTGATAAACACTCTGTAATAACCATTTCTGAAAACAAAAATAAACAATATTCTTGAGTGGGTAGTACTTCGTAAAATTTGAATTTAGATACCTTGTGAAATTTTTTCATGTATGTATGTAATTTTTATAATCAATAATTTTGGAAAAGCCCTCGAAATCCCACTAAAGCCTTCATAACTTATTATTGGCTGAAAACTTTGACAGTTGTTTCTTCAAATTCATTTGTAATTTGTATCCCGGTTGTCTCATATAGGACTACTCATATATTTTACAAGAAATCGTTAAGCAATATAATTTGTTATAACAATACACACAAAATATTACACATGTGTAAAGAAGGAAAAAATAGGCCTTCTCCCCTTTTGACCCCTGTGTTGACATTGCAAAAAGTGTTGATTTGAATGGACGACGTTGAAATCATATTTAATTGTCCGGAACTTCGAATTTTTCTCGAAGGATCCAACATTCTGTATTTCTTCTACATAATCCCTGGGATGCAGCTATTCTTTTAATTGTCTAACAGAGAAATCTATTTCAAGGAACTGACTCAAAAAAAAAAAAAAAAAAAAATTTAAAAAAAAAAACCCTGCAATTAAACAAAAATTAAAGTGCTTTAATCTAAGTTGCTAATTCATCTAAATTCACATTAACATATTGATCAAAAGCTCTCCAAAGCTTATGCTTAAGGTGTTCATAAAATCGATTTAAAATAAGATTTCTGATCTGATCTGATCTGGCTTCCATAGATCTGTATTCACCTTCA